GACTATGAAATTACATATATATCCTCAAAAATCACAGTCAACAAACGGTCAAATAGACAGAGAACCACATTGTGTTAAAATTACAAAGTTAAGGACTTAATTGGTTGAAATTGAAAGTTGAAGACCAATTTGTGAATTTAGCTATAGTCGATGGACCATTTTGAGTATTTACTCTTTCTTTTTCTTCTTTAACTTTTCATTACTCAAATGAAATGTAAAAATTATAATTTCTTCGATTACTCTTTTAAGGTACGAGAATATTGGAATGCTCCTTCAAGAAGGAGATGTTAAAATGACAATCTATGTATGCATAATATTGAATTGTATTATATGAACTCTTAATTTCTATCATCTAACTTTTACTTATTAGTGTGATAAATTCTTCGCACAATATAAATAAATTTATCACAGAAAGTCAAGCTACATAAAATATCTTCTTCTTCTTTTCATGAAGGGGGAGTACATCCTAGGATACTACATAAAATATCTTATGGGGTCATTTACAGTGGACTTGCTTGTAAGGCAATAGTAAATGTATGATACCCACAATATATATTTCATATTATCTATACACCACGTGCCAAAATAACAATGCTAAATAATTGAATTGTAAGATATACTCCGTATTAAAATATAATATATGTATATACTTGAAGGGAAGATGAATATAAAGAAAATAAAAGAACATTCAATTAAGAAATTCATAAATTAAATGAGATGATTACTGATAATACAAATTAGTCCTTGTATTCATGTGTCTAGTATTTCATGTGTATATGAAAATCTATGAAAAAATAGAGAAAGATCCAGAAAGTAACTTCAAAAGAGCCTTTTTTTTTTTTTTTATTAAGTATTAGAGAGTATTTAGAGGGAGAGAGGAGTGGAGAGGGGAATGAAAGGCCAAAAAAAAAAGTTCCCTCCACCAAAGGGTCAAGTGCCGTTAAATAACTTCAAGAGCTGAACCGTTGACTTTGATCATGACCTGAACGGTTTAATCCCAACTCGACTACAAAACGAGAACATAAACATATATGAGGTCAAACTGGAGAATATATACCCTATCAAGTTAATGATGCACTTTGCTCTGGAAGCGCTGAATTGATGCACCAATTGTCAAAAATGGCAACTGACTTTCTGCATTTCTGCCAAGAATATAATGGAGAGCTTATCCCTATCTTAAAACAAGATCAAAACGAGCATCCCTTTATTGAAACAAAAGTAACAAGTACATTGCACCCAACGAGTGACCGAGTGGGTAGTATGATTCTAGTACTTGAAAGTTATGAGTTCAATTCTTATCATTAATATATTTTTTCGGTCAAGTCTATTGATTAATAGGATCTTTATAGTGTGGCATATCGCTTCTAGTTTACTGGAATAAGGCTTACCCTATGCATACCGTTAGATAGTGCTCTGACGACACGCCTTTCTCTCGTCACCAAAAAAAATACTTTTAATTTAGATGTGTCATTATATATGTTTTTAATTGAATTTGATGTTGAGATCATTATATTGTTTTTTTTTTTTTTTTTTTTTTTTTTTGTGAAAAGCTAACTATGCTACACAAAACTTGATTCGCGGACTGGTTTACAAACTAGAAGTTTGGATCATCGGAGAAACTTAAAGTTTCTTTAAAATCATTAATTACAAACTGGAAGTTTGGATCATCGGAGAAACTTAAAGTTTCTTTAAAATCATTAATGATATGGCCTAGACACGACTATCTTTGGTTGAAAAGTATTACACACAACCCGAGTATTCATCTCCATTCTTATGTCCATTGACAATATTTCTATCTGAAAATACACACCCGATCTTATATCCATGAGAAATTTTATCGATTTATCATAAGGTAGTCTACCAATCGAGTTGAACTGCATATCATAGTTTAGAAGATGTGCTTTTTCATTGTCATTGTCGTCCCCTAAGATGAGTTTCACACTTTCACATCCGTCATGACCATTTATATCTTTTTACGCTCCATGAAAACTTTGTCAAAGAGTTTCTCAACGTAACCTTTTTTCATTTTCTTGAGCTGATTAAGCCAACGTGATAGGAAAACCATGCCATGCACATGTACACCCGTACACTACCACTCTTTCATATATATTTTTAAAAAGTTCTATTCATATAATTGTTTCATATAAGTATATTATAAGAGTCCAAAGTAATAGCAATAATCCATCTCCCATGTGATATTCTTCAGATCAGACTTCACGGAAAAGACAAATTTTGCCTAATAAGACGTAATATAATGTTAATTTTGACTACTCCTCGTTTGACTCTCATAACAGGGAGATAAGATGAGATAACAATTTCTTTATCTTAAAAAAAAATTTGATCAAATACTTTTACATATTTTTACTATTTTAAAATTATATTTTCACGGTATACATATAATATACTATTATATTTTCAATTTCATTTTATCTGATCTGTTATGTTTATCGTTTATAGTTAAAATTAACTTTTTCCCATTTATTTTAAACAATTTTCATAATTTGAAAATTTGTCTTTTTTTTATATTAATTTCTAAGCATATAATGGACAAATTTTTTTTAAATTGAGAATCTAATCTGCAACGGTCGTCTACTCTCTTTTTATTATGTTGTGTGTAACACACGTATTAGATTAATCATATTATCGAAAAGATTTTTTGATAAATTCTTAATTTTGATTTTTTGTGAAAATTTTCTTCCTAGTCCACAGAGTGGTGTCTTGGTGGCGGTTCTATATCATTTATGGTGGAGCCGAAACTCAGCCGTTTGGGAAAAAACACTCCCCCACCTCGCTGGCCTATGGAGGAGGGCGACCGCAGCCATCAGCTCGTACTGTCAAGCCAACCACCAGCCTCCGCTCTCGGTGCCGCACGAACCGGATGTAGGCGTCCATGCCAGGCCAAGGTGTTATGTAGATGCTGGCTACCGGCACGCAACGGGGGAGGCAACCTACGGTATGGTGCTACTCTTGCTGGACGGAACATTTATGATAGCACAAAATGGAAGGCTGCCAACTTGTTTCTCACCATTTATGGCGAAAGCCTTAGCTTGTAAGGAGGCTTTATCCTGGTTGCTCGAGAGGAATATAATGGACGTGGATATTCTTACCGATTGCTTGCAACTCCGGAATGCCATGCGCCAGGAATCAACGACTATAATGTCTTACGTTGGGGTCACAGTAGACCAATGCAGAACGTTGGTGGCTTCATTTACTTATTGCTCATTAAGTTATGTTTCTAGACAGGTTAATTCACCTTCACTCAGGACCAATTTATGTTATGAGATTCAATCCCTCCTGACTCTATTGCAGTTTTACTTCATTAATACAATCATTTATTGGTTGGCTTTCAAAAAAAATTGTCCACATGTCTAAAGCTTTCAAATGATGGAGAAAACATATGTATGCCCATACAAGTTGGGGATGGGCTGGTAGGCGGACATTGAAGGCACAATAAGCCATCATTATTGCATGGACCATGGTCCACATAATTGTATAGATCATAAATAAAAAACACATTTTTAATATATTAAAAATACATTATTTGTATATGTAAAGTACATTATTTGAAAGTAAATTATTTTATATATATTATTAAATAATGTACATTCAATACACAAATAATATACATTTAGTATATTAAATGTATCTTATATTCATGATCTACACAGTTGTCTGGACCATGGTCATACATTAATTTGCCCACAACAAGTTGCATGGTTCACTCATATTTATTTCCATCGGTACTTGCGGCTTGCCTACTTGGCTACTTGGTTAGTTGAAGAAAAATGGTACGAGTGATGTTATACACTCCTAATTTATTCTCTACTTGTTTTTTTTCTTGGGCATCCAATGATTAGGATTTAGGAGCCACATCAAGAGGAAAAATATCAATCCTTATATCATGGATCACTGTTTACACTGCACTGTGGATTCTGGTTCATGTGTATATGTTTTATGTTTTATATTATGACTTTTTGTGTCTTTATGAAATTCTGTACTTTAAGAGTATATATATTCTATATCTGAAATAAATTAATAATTGTATCCATATGTTGTGAAATTTTGTGTCTTGTGTTGTCAAACTATGTGCCTATGAACACAAATTATGTACATGAATCAAATTTGAAAAATAAGTATGTATTCCGTATATAACATGTGTATGTGTCTTGGATTATTAAATTTTGTACCTTACGGGTATGATCACTATTACAGCCCGTTTGATTTGCTAGAAAATATTTGAAGGGAAATGGAATTCAAATTCCGTGGAAAACAAATTACCAGGAAAATATATTTCATTGTTTGGTTGATGGAAAAGAAATTACTGAGAACATAAATTTCATTGTTTGGTTGGGTTTGGAATCGTAAGGAATTATGAATATAAAGACTAATATGCCCTTAACAATAATATATATGTGTGTAATTAATAAACTTTGATGAGGGTAAAATAGTCCAATTGTGTTATACTTTCTTCCCAAATCTTTTGGAAAACAAAATACTACAAAATACTAATCCTTTGCTAGGATTTTGTTTTCCTTCACTTTGGGGAAGTCAAGTTCCAATGAAAAATATTTTCCATCCAACCAAACAACATAAAACAACATTTTCCTACACTCTTAGGAAAATGTTTTCCATGAAAAATGTTTTCCATCCAACCAAACACCCCCTTAGTTGTCTTGTATGTTACTAATAGAAAGAAAATAAATATTATGGTCATGCATGTCTGGTAGCATAGTTAACTTATCCGTCAATTTTGACTTGTTTGATCACTATTAGCTGTTTGACTTGGGTTAAACAGTCAATATGTGTGTTTATTTAATAAGCTTTTTGTAACCGCTTATTCCTTCAAAACTTTAAAATTCAAAAAGCTAATCAAACTAGCTTTTTCTATTAGATTTTTTAGAAAATAAATTATGCTTTAAAGGTCATTTATCATTTTCCAAACATTAATATAGTAATTAGATAGGGACATATATAACTTCAAATAAAATTGAGATGGATGATGACAATAATAATAACTCCCACATTATTATATGATTTTCACAATAGACCTGCTACTTGCTTAGATTACTCCAAATAATAATAGATTAAGCATACCAATAATACCATATTCCAAGTTATAATAAGATACAATAAGGAACTATTTTAAAACTTTACTTATTACACTGAAAAACGAAGAAAAAAATTCTCAAAAAGTAAAAGATAAGTGAATAATAGGGGATACCCTCCACTATCCTGTTAGACCTCAGGTAAGATATGAAGGTTTGAGATAGAAAATTTCATCTTTTGTGGACAAGTAAATGGGGGTTGGGTCTAATATTTGGGAGGAAGGAGATGAAGATTGATGAGTTTCTCTATGTTGATGTGAGATGATCCAATGGAAGAAGTTGCAGCTTCTTCTGCCAACTTCTTCCATTCCATAGCTTTCTTCTTCATCTCTTGTCCCTTCTCTCCCTCCATTAACTCCCTCACAAGCTTCTCAACTTCATCCCTCTTCACATTGCTGTCAATCTCCCTACCAATCCCCCATTTACTGCAAGCATAGTGGCAATTGGTCTGCTGCTCGGCGAAGAACGGCCAACACAGCATTGGCACCCCGCTGCAGATGCTCTCGAGAGTCGAGTTCCATCCGTTGTGGGTCAAGAATCCCCCGACTGCTGGGTGGCCCAGGACTTGTTCCTGGGGACACCAGCTCGAGAGCATTCCCCTGTCTTTAGTTTCCTCCACGAACTCCGGTGGGAGAATCGCCGCCTCCCCGGTGACCAGGTCGGGCCGGATGATCCACAAGAATGGTTTCTTGGAGTTCGCTAATCCCCAGGCGAACTCCGAAAGCTGGTCTGGTGTCATCACTGTTATACTGCCGTAGTTTACATAGACAACAGAGTTTGGGGCTTTGGTGTCTAGCCATTCCAGACAGGAAGTGTCCTCTTTCCAGAGGCTTGATGCGAGTGCTCTTACGTTGATGTCTTTGACCTGTTTCTGGAGGAACTGTAATGGACCGACGGCGTAGACCGGCGGGAGCATGGACTGAAGCGCCATTAAAGCTTCATGCTCCAACGCGTCAAAGGTGTTGAGAATGATGGCAGAAGCTCTTCTCGCTCTCCCTGTTTCTTGTAAGATGAACTTCAACATGTATTCATCTGGATTTGTGGTTCTCAAGAAAGATGGAAGGTCTCTCAAACGTATGCCTTTCATGCCTTTTACCCAATCCAACTCCGTCTCCAGATACCCATTTGTCAGGTAACTCTCATCTGAAAGAAACATTGAAAAAGCCCAGAAAAAAAAAATTCAGTAATCGTGCATTGTAACTCTAACTAACAATATACTGAAATAGCTGATCAGCTCAAACCAAGAAGACTGAAATAGCTGATCAGCTCAAACCAAAAAGGTTAATACTCAGTATATCTTTTTGTTGGGATTGAAATTTGTAACATTTTAGTTGTGAAACCAGTCTAACCAATTTGGTTGGTTGGAATTGCCCAAACTGATGATGTTTAGCATTAATGACAACTGACAAGCAAGAAATTTGTTACCTTTGAGAGGGGTGTAGCCCTTGTCGAGGAGCTGAGAGTAATGCATGTAACCCAAGAAGCCACAGGCACTAGTAGTCCAGAACATGACTTCCGGGATGCCCAGCTCCTCGGCGGCGTCGACGGTGAAGCTCATGACCCCGTCGGAGACTATGCAGGACACCGGGGGGGCGTTTGAAACGGCGGTGTCATTAAGCCTGGCAAGAAGGTCCTTGAAAGGGCCTAAACAGGTGGCGCTAGTGGACTCGCAGAGGGAGGGGATGTCCTGGGTGGCATCCGCCTCCGACAGGGGAAGGCCGTCGGGGATGGTCTCGAAGCGGAAGGACGGCAGGCCCCGGAGAGATTCCGGCCCCAGGGATCTTTGCAGGCGGCGGTGGTTGAACTCTGTGTTGACAAAGGTGATGTGGAAGCCTTTGTGATGGAGAATCTTTGCTAGTTTTAGCATGGGGTTGATATGGCCTTGAGCCGGATATGGTATGCACACTGCATGGGGCTTGTCTTGTTCAGATCTTAGAGAACCCATTTCTCTCTCTCTCTCTCTCTCTCTCTCTCTTTCTCTAGTCAACAAAAGTTGTGATTTGTGAAATTCTTGAATGCTTTGAGCCCTTCTTATAGGCACTTGACAAACAGTTGATAAGCAGATTAATTACAAGATTAATCTAATCCCAAGGGTTTTACTTTTCACATTCTAGCTTGTCTGGACAGAGCATCCAGAAAATGTGAATCAATGATAACTCAACTGAACTTAGAAGTTAGATCGTTGTCTACAGCGCATAAAGAACACTCTCCACTTTGAGAGGTTGCTTCCACTATCGTTAATGAGACTCGATTTCTGATCATTCTTTCCAAACTTTAATCATGTTATCAATTGAAACTGGAAAAAAGATCTGATTTTTTTAATGTACACCCGTGATCAGATGATAGTCAACGGAACAGGAAAAGGGAAGAGCTTCGAACGTGTGAACTATCTTGTGTAATAATTGAGTTCCAATATTGTATCACAACAATCTAGACATCACCTATGAAGTCATACTGTTTTTGAAAAAAAAAAAAAAAATGATGTGAAGAATGTGGCCACGTGCCGACATAGCGAAATAAACCGCCATTTGTGGCAGCACTTAGGAAATTCCGGAAAGTTCATTTTTAAAACAATTACGGTATTAATTAGGATTGGTTGGCATTCCAAGATCGCAATAGTTAATCTTTTCAATTTATATATGATGTGATAATATTATAATGCTTTGGAAACCACCCTAGTTGATTGCTAAAATCGAATCAACAGATCAATTACAGAGAGGGGATTCGATTTGGTTTATTGGATTATTAATATATTATGATATGATTTTGTAATTAATAAACATAAGTACATGGTATATGATGAGTAGTCGATATTTAAATCCGATTGGACCACCTAGATTCAGTTGAACCACCTAAACCACCTCATAACCCTAAATAAATGTCTTATTTTTTTTTTTTGAAAGATAAATAAATGTCTTATTAATTGTCCATAAAACTCCAATTGTTACACATCTATTTTGTAACCCTTCAAATTAAATCTCTCATAAACCACTTAAACGTCCTATTAAATTCCCACTAATACCTAGTTACTAATCCACCATTCTACCACCTATTATCTTAACTATAATAAAACTATATGGTTTGGAAAGTAATTAATATTATAATTATTATTTTGGTGAGTAATTATTATTGCAATTATTATCTCTATTCTTATTATTATTAATATAAAATAGCCATAACATCCTTTACTATTAAAAACACACACACACACACACACACACAACAACAACAACAACAACAACAACATTTGAAAAATAAAATAGCTATTTTTTTCTCCCCCATAACAAAGGGTTACATTTATTTTAAATTTACTCATACAAAATTTAAAATTTACTTTCTAAATGTAATTATCTTAGTTATTATTCGTATTGTGAAAATTATAATATAGATGAAATACAATTAAGAATAAATCAATGTAATTATGTAAATTCTCTCTATAAGTTTATTTGAATATGTACATAATTAGAGATTATATTAACCATACAAAATTTTAATTGTAATTTTGTATTCTATAAAAATAATAAATACTTGACTAATGGAAGCTCAACAATATTATTATATTAAACAATTTAAAATATTTTTATTTTTGCTATTTTTTTATTTATATTTATAATAACATTATTTTTTTTCCATGCATCGCGCAGGTGAATTACTAGTTACCCATAAAGGCCTAATAAATCCCTATTAATTCCCCAACGACTAGCTCTCACTCCCTTGTTATAAAATGGTTCAAAGAACAGGAAAGGGGGGATTCATCTTCATCACACCACTCTTCCATGCAAGAAGACTCTTCCTCACACCACTCTTCCGAAGACTCCAACACTCTAGATAGACAAGAAGGCTCTATCTTATACCACAAGAAGCATACCCCATCTCTATGTATCAGAGTAGCATTATTCCTACGAAAGTATGTACAGGCTATCCTACAAATTAAAAGCAAATATAGTGAAATTCATAGCTACTTATTTTTCTACTTATCTTTCTGCATTCTTTTCCGGTGAATCCACCAACTACCGGTTGTGTTGGACCTCTGTGGGTTTCTCAAAAATCCTAAAATCATGGTCACTATTTGGGTCTTGTTAATTTCAATCCACGACTTTCAAAACTAACAATTGAGTACTCTACATATTCAATTTTGGTCCATATGGTCAAATTGCCGACGAAAAGTGGCTGAAAATTTTTAATAGATAAAATCTTTGAGAAAAATTTAGTCATTTCCTCACCCTCTTTTCTTCTTCTCCGTTTCTTCTCTTCCCTACGCCGAAACACCTCCATCAAAACCCGTTGAACCTCAACCGAAGATCATTTAGTCCAATTGTGGTCATAAACATGTCGAATGTTCATATCAGTCAAAAAATAACTACATATTTCTTTCACCGATCAATTATAGAACCTCAAAATACTTGCATTTTCAAGTTCGCATCCAAGATACTTGGTTAAGTTGAAAACACCCATATCATTTCATTGTACTTAATAACAAGTTTTTTTATTTAATTCCATTTCGGGGAGTAACTCATACACGAAAAGATTAAGTACTCATTAATAATTTGTTTAATAAGAGTGTTTGGTACAAAATCATTTGAAAACTTTCTGGTGACATGCACTATGCATTATGGGGGTCATGTGGCATAGTTCACGTGGTGTTGGATGGAAATCGATGACAAATCCTATTGCCAACTAATCCTATTTAATTAATAGTAATTTATATGTTAATCTTGATTTTCATTCCCTATTGGTTGTCGATATCTTTTGCCTTTGCCGTATATATGTACCCTATCATTTTGGGAAAATATAATGGTATTTTATAATTCTTCTCCCAAAAGGTTGAATCTCTAACCTTAAGGGCCTCCACACCCTGCCCCAACAGAACATTTGAGATGATATAAATCGGGTCGTTATATCGTGCACCGCGGTGCATAATCGATTATGCACTGCTCGTCAGACATTACAGTGTGTCTAAACCGACACTAGCTCACGTATTATTTTTATATTATCAAATGAAAGTACAGTTATATCAAAATGATACTGTAATTGTGGTGAAATGACATAACAGTATATATAAAATGAAATTGAATAACATTTCACAATTTGAGTGTATATTGTACAATAAAGCTGTAATTATATTCAAATGATCATGTAGTTGTGTTTTAATGAAATTATAGTGTATATAAAATAAAATTAAATAACATTTTCACATATTTGAGTGTATAAATATTGAATGAAACTGTAGTTATATCGAAATGAAACTGTAGTTGTGTTGAACTGAAACTGCAGTGTATACAAAATGAAACTGAAGAACAAAGTTATTTTTTGTGAAGATTCTATTTCTTTTCATTAAATAAAACGACGTCTTTTTGACAGTATCGGTTTAGACACACTGTAGTGTCTGACGCGCGGTGCATAATCGATTTTGCACCGCGGTGCACAATATAATTTGCCATATAAATCACGGTGATCAATGGTTCAGCGGACAGGCCGTACCAAATGGTGCACAAAGAATTTGTCAACTTTAGACATAATTCTCACATTGCGTATTTTATAAAATTCTACATATATTGCATGTGTATGCACCTATATAGCAAATAAGGTTTTTTTTCATTGATCTATTGGAAAGCACAATCATTATTAAAATGTGCACTAAGGTAAAGCAAATAAGTTTTTTTTTTTATTTTTTTTTATTTTTGTGTTTTTACACATAATATTATATTTTCATTGATCAATTGAAAAGTCTACCGTCATTACCCTTTCAAATTGTTTATTTGTTAGCTCAGGAATCTGTCTATTAATGGTAATAGTACTTTTTTTTTTTTTATATATATATAAAATTGTAATATATAAGCTGACGAATTAATGGCTGCTTTGGGAGCCGATTTTATCATATTAAATATTGTCACAAATCACCTTATCCCACATGCATACATTTTGGCTTGATACCAAATTACGTGGACTAAAGACAGCTCCGTTTCACATATGTTTCAGGTTTGTGTCATTGGCGGCGCTGAGATTTGAGAAGGCCGCCGCCTTAAACTCCACCGACTTATGCCCGCCGTCTCGCTTGTATAGTCGGCGACTCGGCGTACGATGTGTACATGAAAGTTGATGGCGGTGGTTTAATTTAGTAAAACGGATAATCATTTCTTCAAATGAATTTATTTAAGATTGATGAATTGGAATTAGAAACGTGAAAATATTGTTTTTCACTAATTAAGGTTGTTTTTCAAATGTTAGGCACTCTTAAACAGCTGTATAATATAAGGTATTAGTCAATTCTAAACACTTTAAGTCGTGTAATTATTAGATATATTTATGAACACATGCATCATATTAAATTCTATAAGTTGGTATATTTGATATTTTAATTTGCATATAACATCTAATATTATATTTTCATTACCGTTAAACTTATCTAAATTTAGTTCGAGTTATGCTGACAGAAAAACTAATAGACTGCAAAAAAATTGGTTCAGAACACATTAACATATATAACACATTCCGTAACATTTATAAGAGTCGAACCAATTAAGCTAAGTAACTTTTTTTTTTTTTTTTTGAATAAAGCTAAGTAACTTATATTGCTTGATCCTTTCAAAAAAAAAAAAAATCTTATATTGCTTGACATGTTACCATTCTTATGATAAAATCCAATTACTTTGACAAATCATAACTTTTTGTTTAAGTGTGAAAATAATTTAAATTATATATGTTGACTATTGTTAATCCAATAAGACAAATTTGATTCTTAATTTAAGTAGCTCATCTATTAACTAATATAATGCAAAATAATTATTTGCAAGCTATTACACAAGATAAAGGCATATAATAGCAACCTCATATATGATTTTTTGTAGGGTCCAATATGAGGTGGATGATAGAGAAGGAAAGAGAATGCATTTTGAACTCCTGCAAGATAGTAATTTTTTGTGGGCCCCAAGAGAGGGAAAAAACAGAGGAAAGACCGCTGATCATGCACATACATTGCTCAGCCAAGCTCTATTTTTTATTTTTTTTCTATGTCGAACAACTTTTTTTTCTCTCTTCTCTATCACTTCTCTCTCTCCTACTTGGCTTCTTAAATATTGTACAAAAAATTAACTGATGTAAATGCTTAAATACACATACACTCTAAAGTAATGATTACGAATTTTTGTAATTTTATAAATATAATAATTATTTTCATGTCATAGTATTTTTAAATTTAAGTTTAATTTCCATCACACCTTATGAATAATATCATTTTATTTATTTTATCATACCGGAGTGTCGACTATTGGAGTAAAGAATTTTGTTTTTTCTGTTGGCCCCTGCTTTAAAAGGAATGTTAAACAAAGAATCTATACTAAACCTTTAAAAAAAAAATTTTATCATATAAAATTTCGTGGATCTCAAGTATCTACCCAGAAAAAAATCATTTATATTATTATTAAAACGGATCAAGATAATAAAAATAAAATAAAATTATAGCATTATTGAAATGGTGGCATGCACGATGCATCTACGAATATAATCTCTTCAGTATTTTATTTTATAATTATTATTCTGTCACCGCAGGTTTCCTCGGTCAATAAATTAAAATCATTGCACTGAGATAGGTACATAGTCAAGTAAGTGAAACATGATTCTGATTCTTCTTAACACGTTATCTGTAGAACCTATCACATAAGGCACTTCTAGTGCGGTAATTTAATTACTTATTTTAAATGGTTTGCAATCTGTACAAAAGTAGATTTCATCACATGTCCGAACTCATACAGTGGTTACGGGTTCTCCTCATTACCAACAAATAAATTAGAATTATACATCAAGATTAATCGTGATAAGCACTTCTTCATATGTTTTAAAATTGTTACATTCTTAAAATTCGAATCAAGACACATTAAATAAGACGCACTTTATTTCATCCACATTCTATATGTATTTTACTTTATTTTTTGGCCGGTTAAATGAATTTTTAATGTATATGAAATGAATCAAATGCCATTAATCTTGAATTTATGGACCAACCTGCCAATTGTCAAAAATGGCAAGAGACGAGACTGGCCTTCGACTCTAGGAATCAAAAAAGAATTTGCCTACTTTCTATTTTAATATTTATTTATAATTATTGGTTTTTGGTCAACAATATATTATTACTGAAGAATTAAGTGTGATTTAATGATTCCTTTAACTATTTAACTATTTTATTTTATGGATTCCCAGCATATATTTTCATATTTGCATCTGATTCATACCTCAAAAAATTCATTTTCTAGTGAAATCGAAAATTAGAAAATTGAAAGCAAAAAATGCGTTTACATTAAAAAATTAGCAAGTGTCTGAGCCCGGGTTCGAACCGGGGACCTCTAGTGTGTGAGACTAGTGTGATAACCAACTACACCACCCAGACACGTTGTTAACAGTTCTTCATGAATCTCTCTAATACATTAACTCTGTCTGGCTTGGAGTTTTTTTTTTTTTGATAAAAGGCTTGGAGTTTTGGAAATTGGAATCATGATGAATTAGTAAAAAGCAAACAACTCTATATATCTGCCAGCTTTTAGAGAACAAAAAAGTACCAAATTCTCTGTTTCACCATCTTCTTTTACAAAATCACAACACAGTAAAAGGCTAAAAGCTCCACTGTAATTATTTGTTTTCATTTGCTGTTAATTCACACTCTAATCCCCACCAACTTCATCAGATGCACCCATAGGTCCATTGGGTTCTTTCTCTCTAGGAAATAGCACCAATAACTCCATCAGTCCATGAATGACTTCAAACATTTACTAAACTTGGGCCTCAATCTTCACCCACAAATTAAAGTTCCAAGAATCTTCATTCAATGAAAATACATGTTACCCCTTTTCCCTATACTTACCAAAGTTACAATCTTTTCTTTAATTTGGGTTGCCCAAATATCTTGTTGTTGCATGTGGGATCTGGGAAACAATTCAAGATTTTGATCTAAGTTCAATAAATCTACATTAATTTCACTCAAATGCCATAAACACACTGCTTAGCTTATAAAGGTTTCATTTTTATTGCTGTTCACATTTTACCTTACTATATATGCATAGAGGTGTGCATAGGATGCAGCTTTTTCATCTTGTCTTTACTGTTTACATTCCTGTGGCCCGGTAGGTAAGCTCAGTAAATATCTTTTATGAGAGTTTACCTTCTTCTACTCCCAATGTTTCTGGCGGATTAGTCGGTGGCTTTCTTTCTGCACCTCTACACCCAGGAACCAGTGGTTTGTGCTTTCTCTGGCCTTTAGTAACTCTATTTCCTTGTGATTTTTAGTCCATTTGGAGCTGTAATTTTGCTGGTTTTAGATTTCCCAATTCTTGATCTGTAATTGTGGTGTAGATCTTGGGGCTGTCTAGGGGAATTTGGTGAAATGCCCTTTGTTGTGTGGTTTTGCTTTGGCTTTTCTGGGCTTTTGTTCAATTGTTTTCTGGTATTGTGATTCTAAATGCAAAGGATTATTTTGTGCTTTTACATTCATGAAGACATCAACCCCATTCCATGCTGATGTTCAAGAATATGGTGCTGCAGATTCTGCAGTTCAGTTCTTTCATTGTTAATCAGTTTCTGTGGTAACTCATTTGCTGTTAATGATAGGTTTTAAGGGTTATAGTCACTTTTACACTATAGTTTCTGGATGCCATTTCTTTTTTGAGTGAACCCGCCTTATGATTCTAGTCGGCAAAGGACAACAAGAATGTAAATCAGTTTAGGTTGCGTATTTCTGGTGGGCTCAGGCCATGAAGGCCAATAGGCCGCTCTTGTTTGGAGTCGAACTTGTAATATTATGGTTATCAAGTCAATAGTCTGACTAGTTTGTCTGGGTTGCCCCACGGATGCCATTTCATTCATTACTGGAATTGATGAGTACATTATAGACCCCCCAACCCTTGTTTGGTCTTCTTGATTAGGGACTAAAATAATCTTGTTTGGTTCTCAAATGTTACATAAGGGAGTTTTTCTTGAGGATTCAATTCTTTGTGGTATGGGTTCTCAATTCATAGTAGTACTCGGTCTAATTTATATACGAATTGGCGTTGTTTTACCTTCAGATGGAGGTGGGGAGTACAAGATCCTGGGATGAACTGTTGCCCGATGCACTTGGGCTAATCTTCAAGAACCTGCCTCTCCAAGAATTGCTAACAGTAGTGCCCACGGTATGCAAATCGTGGGGCAAAGCCGTGATGGGGCCATACTGCTGGCAAGAGATTGACATTGAGGAATGGAGCAATCGCTCGGAGCCTGGGAGCGTGGAGAGAATGCTCCGAATGCTGATAGCGAGAAGCAATGGTTCCATTCACAAGCTCTGTGTCTCTGGCCTCCAAAACGAACCTGTTTTCTCCCTCATTGCAGAAAAGTAAGCACAATCTTGAACCCCACTTAAAGCCCTTTGATTTCCAAAAGCCTAAGCTTATAGTTAGATTATAGTAGCTTATGGGGTGAACCCATGACCTTTGGTCTGGCTCTGATACCAAATTGAAGCATGTGCTCCATCTCAACTAAAAGCCTAAGCTTATAATTGGATTGCACATTAATGGTTATATGCTGTACCATTCTAGATAGTCTTAGAATCATAAGATGTTATTGTAAGTCTGCCTCTGGTTTGGTTTGCAGTGCTCGTTCCTTGAGGATATTGTGCCTGCCCCAGAGCAACATGAGTGATTCCATCGTGGAGAAGATTGCTGGGAGCCTCTCGATGATAACGTTCTTGGACTTGAGCTATTGTTACAAAATCAGTGCACGTTCCTTGGAGGCTATTGGAAAGAACTGTAAACTGCTGGAAGGGTTGCGAAGAAATATGCATCCTCTGATCATGGAGGAAAGGCTCTCACAGGACAACGAGGAGGCTCATGCCATAGCCACTACAATGCCCAACCTCAAGCGTCTCGAGACAGCTTACCTGCGGTACATTAACACAATAGGCGCTCTAGAGATCATCCACAGCTGCCCTCAGCTCGAGTATCTGGACTTGAGGGGGTGCTGGCAAGTGAAGCTCGACGGGGAGTACCTGAAAGACAAGTTCCCGAAGTTGAAAGTTTTGGGACCTTACGTTGTGGATCGATACGAGAGGAACAATGACTATGAAGATTGGTCGGATTTTTCAGACTCTTTGTATGATTATGAGAGCTCGGATGATGAGAACAGGTTCGGTGAGCTGGAATTCAGATTCTATCAGCAGTTCAACGAGGATGCTACCAATGGTTGGCCTCCATCTCCTTAACCATAAACCATTATTGTCTTTTGGCACAAGAACTGTGTTTTGCCATTCAATGTGCTTGTTGATGTATATGTTTTCCTCCTTTGTTATCTTTAGATATATGCTCCTTGATAGAACTAAAACGTGTTGAGTGCAGCATCTATATATTTATATGATCAAGTAAGGTTTTCTATGAGCTATTTGGTTTTTATAGGTAAACACCTTTTTTTTTTTTTAGTACTACTGACTCTATTACAAGATAGTATTTGTTCTATACTTTCTTTATTTGCCAAGTACCTTATATTCATATGGCATGTAGTGACTCTCTCATATGGGAGGTCATGAGATCGAATCTCAGTGGAGGCAGTGTTGACTCTTTGTGCTTCAACAGGTTGAGAAAGTGTGTATGAACAGATACTATAATGTAATAAAGTCAGTAGTACTAAAAAAAAAACTACCACTTAGGTTCGATCCTGTGAGCCACAGAGGTACTTGGCAATTGCTCTACAAAAAGGTAAACCAAGCTCAAATTAAAAAATGCAACTTCCATGAAGAACTTTATGATTATCCGATCGACTTAATTGGGGTTGAAATAAGATAGGATGTCTCTCTCACCGTACTTAGTCATCCACAATCATATTTAACACTAATATAAGTCGAAATTGATAATAAAGTTATGGTGAACATAATTTGGAATTACTTGCCAAGCCAGCAACTTCCACCATTGAAAAGTTTGTGGGAAATCTAGTCAACTTTCATTTACATATGAAACTAATTTCACAACCTTTGTCATAGTTCCCAATCTCATCAGCCACCATTCTCAACCTTAATTTTCTAACTCAACTTTTTCCTCTATCTTCCGCTTAGTTTAGAAAGTAGAATGAAATCATTGTCGGATGCAAATATGCAATCATTATCCGTTTGTATCGGAGATAAGCGAAAATTAACAAATTGTTAAAAAGATTCAATCATGAAATATCTTTGCAAGAATCTGTTGGTTTTATGAATAGGCAGTCCATAAATAATCAACATAATTGGTCAAAAAGGGAACTCAAAAAATAGGATTTTTGAGAATAAAGAAATTGTCTCCATAATATTACATCACCCTCCAGCAAATAAACCACTCAATCCCTCTCTTCCCCATTTCTTTTCAACTTCTACACAAGTGAAAAATTGTGTTAATGACTCTCAACCAACCTTAGCTTATAGTTAAAATCTTTGATTTCACTTAATCAAAACTATCTATGATTTTTTCCTTTTAATTTTCTCTGTAAAATCAGCTCCATCAATTTTATTTACATTATATTGCTTGATGGATTTAATTAACTCAGGGTAACCCGAATTACTAAATCCTATAAATAAGAAAAGGGTAAATGGATAGATAAATATGCAAAATGAGTGTTGTAGGGTCGCGGGGACCAAATATTGTATTAAATAACGATTGCCGAGCTATTACAAGATAATGTACTTGGTGAGCTGTCGTAGGCTCCCAAATTAAAACCTTACAAACGTAGTAGCGGGAGTAAGGATCGATCCCACGAGGAGTAACTAGTTTAACTTTTGTGCTCAAATTAAAGGTAGGGGGGTTTGGAATATATCGAGAATAAATATTAAATAAAAGAGAATTTAAATAAACAAGAAATTTAATTGAACGAATAAAGCAATGAAAATGATATATCGAAAACACTTATAATAAGAAACCTTGGTTAGTAAAGATCCACCACCGGAATTCAACACTGATCATTGATTAATAAAGTAATTAATATGCAATTGAATATTTGTCGTGAAATTATTTCATTTCTGTTTTCCCTTAGTTGTAGGTAAATAAAGCACAAGCGGTTTAATTACCCCTAACTACTAAATAATCTAAGACAAGCGCTATAGATTTAATTTAATAGCAGCAATAGGAACTAGGAAAACCGACAAACTAAATAACACAAGCACAAGCGGTTGCATTTAATTTAGGAAAATATTCTACTCGAGACCAATTATCACTAAGCCGTCAATAATTAACCCAGTTGCTACTGAATATTAGAATAATTTGTAGCACAACATTATCTAATATAGCAAATAATTATATCAAATAAATAACTAGTAGGCCTCCCTAGCAATTAAATGATACAACTATTCAAATAATTTAGAAGAATATTTAATACTCAAATGCATAAAAATATATATAATAGAAATAAATAAATAACCTTACAGTGTAATGAACTCCGAGGCTTCTATTCACTAAACCAAACTAGAAATTAGTCGCGAATGGACATTGATAACAACCTTAAAGAATATTCGAGAGGGGAAGAATGGACGTGAAATTGTGTCCCAACAACATAATTCATCTTACTATTTATACATGTTTCTAAGCATTTTCCTTCCACTAATTTCCTATGTTTGCGCCATGATGCCGAAATGGTCTTCCGGACAATTGCACGCCATTTCCTCCTTCTTCGCCCTTGAAAATTCTTCACGCCACAAAAAAAGGAAGACAAAATATATGTTTCATTGGTTGTTCAATGCTTTGGAAATTAAAGTGAATGTGGGCCACTTAAATAATATATAATATATAGATATACATGTATAATGCATATATATACATATAGTAGTACATAATATATATGTATATATAAGTATAGTACGTAATATGTATTATATATTATATATTATATATTATATATTATATATTATATATTATATATAAAAAAAACTAATTATTAGATAATATTAAATAACTAATGCAAAATTATTATAAAGATGTATCTAAAATATGAGTGTAAAATGTGTCCATCAGTAGGGGTGTGCAAATTTCGGAGAAATTTCGGTTAACCGACCGAACCGACGAAATTCGGTTAACCGTTTTCGAACCGAAATATTTCGGTTCGGTTAATGGTTAAAGGTTTTCCCAAAATTCGGTTAACGGTTAATTCGGTTCGAAAGTGTCGGTTAACCGAATTAACCGAATGGTTAACCGAATTTTAGAATATATATATAATATATAATATATTAAATATTAAATATATAATTACTAAAATCATAAATAGTCAAAATGTCAAATAGAATAAATAATAATATGAATTTATTATGATATGTATTTTATTTTAATTGGAATTATTATTTTATGAATTATTTTATGGATTTTAAATTTTAGGGTTAAAAATTTCGGTTAATCGGTTAACCGACCGATTAACCGAAAAAAAGTTCGGTTCGGTCAATTCGGTAGAGTAAATTTCGGTTCGGTTAACGGTTAAAGCAAAAAAAAATTCGGTTCGGTTAAAACGGTTCGATTAACCGAATGAACACTTTAGGACTGCTATTACAATAGTAGTACTGCTATTACAATAGTAGTTTAGGACTAAAGTATATAAGGGTTGTCTTAATGAGACAATTCAAGAAGAAAACTTTTTATACACAAAATGAACCCCCTAACCGCCCCCTAATGCGGTGGTAGCGATTACAACCTCCTTTGACCACGTCAAGTCCCGAGACCGGACCTATGGATTGACCGGCCGAGCCCTCATGGCCGAGGCCTCGTAGCCGAGCCCTCATAGCCAAGGCCTAGTAGTCGAGCCCTCATAGCCGAATTCACATGGCTGAGGCCTCATAGCCGAACCCTCATGACCGAGGCTCCATGCCCGAGCCCTCATCGCCAAGGCCTCTCCCTAGGGCGGTCCGGTCCAGCCATCCGGTCAAGCACGGGACCCAACCTCGAAGCCCCGAGTTTCCTCGAATTCTCCTTAATCTGTCTTCTCGGATCAATTTGTTCCATTTCTAATATATATATATATATATATATATATATATATATATATATATCATTGCTTATGAAAAATTCTTGTAGTTTAAAATTGCGAATTAAACTCCTAAAGCTAGCTTAGACAACCGGCCGGTACAATAGTGGAAATTCTTTATTCCAAAGATCAGATTTGGAGTACTTTTGTGTAACTTGCCTAAGTAACAAGCCCACTAGTCCTGATGTAGCAAAAATGAGTGATGGTGAGTGTACAGGTGTGTTATGTCGTCCTCAGGGGATTGGGGAATATGGCACGCAATATGCAATCACAATGAACTAGACACTAGCATAAGGAAATCATCAAGAAGCTAAGCAAACTACAAGTTTAAGGAAATGATAATACTAGCACATATACACAAAGATAAACACAAAATAAAGAAATATGACTCAAGCTAGGGAGCATTATCATCTAGATGCATAGCACAACCTAAGGATTGGGGAAAATCACACAACCAAGGAATAGAGGGGATGCACGTAGGAATCCTAGTCTATAAGTCACTCATGTGAGCAAATTAGCTAGGATTAGAACAAGGAATTGCCCACTCTCGTGGTGAATCAACTCCAAGTTCTTCAAGAACACAAAGCATCTAAAACCCCCAATTTCCCCCATTTTCATAGGAAAAATCGGGTTTATGCAAGGAATGGCTTGGAATCTTGACCCAACTCTCATTGAGGCCAATAATCCTCCAAAACATGTCAATGAATGTTGTACACCAAGCATTAACAAAATACAAACACAAATCCTTCATAAACTCAAGAACCCTAGGTTAGAGTTCTTCCCCTTTTTGCAATAATCACAAATCAAGCATCAAGATAGATAATACAACCCTAACTCAAGTCCATAAACTAACTACTCATGATTAAATAACATAAAGAACACAAAAGCATAAGTAACAAACATAAATCTTGCAAAAGAAAGGGATAAAAGGAAGGAAAGCTTCTCTATTGAAAATGGATGGTAGAATCTTGAAATCCAAGTGTAGATCCTTCAATACAAGCTTTAAATATGATAAAGAACCTAAATCTACACCTAATCTAATACTAAAATATGAAAAGAAAGAGTAGAAAATAGTTAGGGTTCGAATGGGGTTCAAAACCGAGTAAAAATGAGTGAAAACTCAGCTAAAATAGAGCAGAGACGAGGGGCTCGACGCGTCGAGAATTTACAGATTGCAAAACGCGATCACACTGCCCAGATTCGACGCGTCGAGAAAATTCTCGACGCGTCGAGTGCTTCTCTGCAATGCAACTCCGACTTGTAGGCTGATTTTGACCACTTTATGCTCAGAATTAGGCTTCGATGTCTTCATGAAAGTTGTAGCTCTTCGAGTCTTCTTTCCAATGGAGAAAAAATCACTGCATTTGGACATTTCTAGGCCGAGATATGGTCCAAAAACTAAGGTATCGACGTGCAGGTCGGGAATTTCAATTCCATGAGTTTTTGCTTCTCTTTTGCTTTGGTTTGCCCAAATGATTAAGACCATTGAATACACCACTCTTAGGCTTCCTTGGAAGTGTTTTGTCCATCATCTTAGCTTCTCCTTGGCTCCCATGAACCCTAAATGTATCCATAATGCTCCACTTGACTCCAATGTCCTTCAAAATGCATGAAATTATTCATTTTTGCTTCCAAAGCTTTTCAAACCAAATTCCTTGCAAAATAACACAAATTAGTCCTAATCTAATGAAATTTGGAATGATCTATAAACAAAATGGCTTAGTGAAAGGAGCAAAAATATAGACAAATAAGCGCTTATCAAGTCCACTACCTATTACTTGGCGGCAAATTATATTGTGGACTATAGTATACATTGCGTGATGAATCAATAATAGATAAATGTTTAATACTGTAGGCTATAATATATATTGCATAATTGTGTAATGACTGCGAACTTCTCCGTAAATCATAATATAGAATAAAATCAAATCATCCCATTTTCGAACAATATAATGTCTTCATTATATTGAGCAAACAAAAAAAATGTTTGGCCCCTAGTGCCTTAAACCACACTTACACACAAATATCTTCAATCATTCGAGTAAAGAACTTCCACTCAATTGAATTTTCTAAAAAATGAGTTGCCCAAAAATTAAAGCAATAAATGTATATAGCAACCCCACTGCCCACTTACCACTTGCCTAAAACCAATAAAGGCTACATATCTTAAAAATCTTGAAGATATGAAGAAGATGAAGTTCCTATCATTCAAAGCACTAGTCATCATCATAAACTGTGTTTTCTTGGCCGTCGGTCAGATCGGCGGCGTAATTCTGATCAGGCTTTACTTCCTGCACGGAGGCAAACGGAAATGGCTGTCTTCATGTTTGCTCACCGCCGGTTTCCCGTGCCTGCTCGTCCCCATCTTCATTTCCTACGCCAGAAACCAGGCGAAGGCGGCGGCGAATCGCCGCCGCGTTTTGGTGACGCCATGGCTGTTCATGTCGAGCGCTTTTCTGGGTCTTCTTCTCGGCGTCGACAGCTATCTCTACACCTTCGGGATGTCGTACCTTCCGGTGTCCATTTCGTCGCTGCTAAGCTCGACGCAGCTGGCGTTCACGGCGGTGTTCGCGTATTTTATCGTGAAGCATAAGCTGACGCATTACTCCGTCAACGCGGTGGTTCTGATGACGTTTGGGTCCGTCGTTCTGGGGCTGCACATGGCCGGAGATCGGCCGGAGGGGGAGTCGGACCGGAGCTACACGCTGGGGTTCTTCATGACGATCGCCGGCGCGGCGCTGCATGGGTTCATCATGGCGGGAGTGGAGTATGCGCATGTGCATGCTGGCGTTCCTGTCACTAATGGTCTTCTCATGCAAGTTCAGTTCATAATTTCCATGTTTTCTGCTCTGTTTTGCACTGTCGCCATGATTATCAACAAAGATTTCCAGGTACGTGAGTAATAATTAACTTCAACTCTATGTGCATGCAAGATTCGCAGCATAATAGCTCGCATGTGCAGCTTAACAAGTTGTAGAAATGAAATTTATCACAAAAGATTAATAGAATTTTAACGGGGTAGTCTAGGAGTAATATCTCAAAATGAAGGAGCTCATTATGCACAACAAAAGTCTAACATCTATTGATTACTTGAGTCACCATAATTCACAAATTGTCAGGTCATGCGGAGGCGCCTAAGGTACGGTGGGCAATTCCACCTTTATCACAAGATTCACTGCAAGAAAACTCTTAAGAAAATGAAAATCGAACTTAAAATTTTGTAATTACTAAATTAATTATGCTAGTAATTTGGTTGAGCAATGTTGCCCTCACCCTATTTTGGGAGACAAGCAGGTAACCACCACCCGAGAATATGCACCGGGTGCACTTCACATTGTGACTTTAGTCAGCGAAGAACTATAAAGAGATAGCTAGCTTAGATTACTCATAGCTGACTCACTAAAACTAAGAATGTCAATAAGTTATTTTCACGAATAGTTAAATTTAAAATCAGCAGTTACCCTATCTGTCCAACTTGATTGAAGTTGCCAGATTTCTAGCTTGGTACATACTATTGTCTATTGCTTAATTTCTCTAGAAGTACTTAATTAATTATGCATGAAATTCATTAATGCAGGCAATCTCAAAGGAGGCCAGAGAATTCGATCTCGGAACGGAGAAGTATTACATGATAGTGGGATTTGCAGCCATAGCACTGCAGCTAATGGTTATGGGGAGCCTTGGGGTGATCTTCAGTTCCTCAGCTCTATTGCTGGGGATTTTCACTTCGCTTTTAGTTGCAGTCCAACAGGTTTTCTCTGTGATCTTCTTGCCGGAAAGCTTCAGTGCAGATAAGCTTTTGTCCTTAGCCATTTGCATCTGGGGTTTCGCCTCCTACTTCTATGGAGATTACAAGACTGCCCGGAAAAAGCCGCCACCGCCGCCGGTGACCGGAGATGACGAAGAGCACCAAGAAGTTTGATCGACTTATCACCGGAATCTATGGAGTTTAGGAGCATTCTCGATAAGTTGTATGTGTTATTTTAATTAGGAGGGAAATGGCTCAGAAATCCCACCTTTAAGTTGTAATGTATCATTCATTGTGTCATTTTTTTTAGTTGAAAGGTACTTAATCCCTCCCAATAAGTTGTTATTAGGGGTTATGTAAGCTAAATTTAATGAATTTTAAATTTAATTTGGTTATTGTTAAACTCAATTTGAGTAGTTTGGGTAACAAATCGAGTCAAGCTGAATTTGAGTTTTTTAAAAATATAAAATTCGAGCTTAATCAAATTGAGAAGTTAATGACTGATTTAGTTCATTGACTATAGCTAAATAATTGACTTGGTCATCGATTATCATCCTTATCAAATTAAGTTATTAACTTTAAAAATCTTACTTAATTTCGTCATTCGTTATCATTCTATGACTTAAATTGGCGAAAGAACTAGCACAAAACTCAACGAGTTGGCTCAATAGACATCCCTAGCTGGATGATAGTGAGATTGTTTGCAAATAAGATTTTTGAGCACAATTTTTTAGATTTAGAAAAAAAATAAGTGAATTACATGGGCTGCAAGCTTGCAATGTTGTAAAATCACAATCAATGTCACTGCTCTAATTGATTATTCAGAAGGTGGATCATTTGTTTCTTTTTCTTTTTTAGTATTTTCCCTATCACTAATTCTAGCCACATAAAAACGTTTTAAAATGGGTGAGAACTGTAGGATCTCCTAGAAAACATCAATTTCTCCATCTTGTGGATGTATTTAAAAGGGAAAAAATAAAAAAGAGAAAAAAAAAAACATTAAACTTTACCAATGTGGAGCACACACTTTAGAGATATTGGAAATACTATAACGTAAAGAATGATTATTGCTTTAAAATATAATACTCTGCAAAAGTTAAGATAAGATTGGGATTGTATTTGGGGAACTTTTTTTTTTTTTTTTTTTTTTTTTTTTAAATATGTGGAACTACTATGGATGCGTAGGAGTTAAGAATATATAGCACTTTCGAGAAGCGGGTGATCAAAGTTTTTCGTAAATCAAATAATATATAAAATATTTTCTTTTTTTCGTTTTATTTTACAGGTATGATTCAATTAATGAAACTTGATTGAAGCTATTTATAATTTTATTTTTATAATAATAAATTTAATATTAATATATAAAATTTATATTTAAAAATTATATTAAAAATATTATTAAATAATGGTTACAACTTACCTTCATGACCCAAAAGATAAACTCCACTCATCTAGTATCAATATTTCCATCTCTATGCTGCGAGATGTACATGTACCAATACAAACACAATCGTTATATCGTGCACCAGGGCGCACAACGTCTGTTCATTTCTATTCAAATATAAAAGATTACATTGAACCACTAAAGTGATAATTTCCAAAAAAATAGCTATAAATGAGAGGCCAAAATCGTTTTTACATTACTTATTACAAAACAGGGTCGTTTTATTTGAGCGGGAATTATTTACCAAATTTTTTTTCCCAAGGGATGTGGCTTTTTATATAGTAAGATATAGGGAAGGGTTCAGGTGCGGGGATGGCTTCCCGTGCGGTTGTGCGGTTGGACACACCTTAATCATTAACATGACGCATCTTAAATACACAAATCACCACGCACCTTAAGTTCACAAACAAAGCACCTTAAGAACACAAGTCACTCACCTTAAGTACAAAACCCAAGTACATTAAGCACAGAATAAAGCACTTTGAGCACAAAACTCACACACTTAAGATTTTAAAATGTCTCACATTAAGCACAAAACCCACGCACATTAAGTACAAAACCCACGCACATTAAGCACAAAACCCATGCACTTCAAGTATTAACTCACAGACCTTAAGTTTCAACAACTACTGACATTAATCACTAACCTCACACACATTAAGCACAAACCATACACACATTAAGCACAAATCATACGCACCTTAAGCCAAAAGCCCACACTTTAAGTTTTAACAACAACTACTCACATTAAGCATAACCCCACGCACATTAAGCACAAAAAACACGCACCTTACGCACAAGACTCACGCATCTTATATACAAAACTCACGCACATTAATCACAGAATCGCTCACCTTAATTTTGACCTATATGCAAAAATTACAAAATTGTCACCGCGTTTTTTTTTTAATTTTGGTAATCTTGGACGTTGATTTAAGCGAGATGAATTGACCCAGATTAAACCGCATAATCGCACCAGAACCTAATTCTATATATATATATATATATATATATATATATATATATATATATATATATATATATATATATATATATAGGGAAGGGATCAGGTGCATTTGTTGCTTCTCGTGCGGATGTCGCGGTGGATTAATGTGCGTCATGTTAATATGCGTGAGTTTTGTACTTAATGTGCCTGAGTATTGTGTTTAATGTGCGTGAGATTTGTGCTTAATGTGCGTGCGTATTTCAGAATTACGAGCTCAGAAGGAAGCAGAACAGAAACTCACGCACATTAACGCCCAAGCTTCTTGTTACTTCTTCTTTCAATTTGGCCATGGATTCTGGATTATCAGCTACTTTCAGTGCAGTTGAATGTTTATATAAATGACGCACGCACAGTAAAATTTGCACAGCAGCTAAGGGTGGATTTCTGTTGTATTATTCCCATAATTTTTAACCACCATAGCTCGTCTCCGCATCATCATCATCAGGGAGGGGGCAAATGGCTACTAGAGATGAGGAAGAAGCTGACATCAATATTTTCTACTGCATTTTACACATTCACGCACATTAAGTACAAATTTCAGGCACATTAAGCACAACACTCACGCACATTGAGTACAAATCTCACGTACATTAATCCACCGCACATCCGCACGGGAACCTTTATATATATATATATATATATATATATATATATATATATATATATATATATATTACTTGTATTTTATGTGTATTGTCTAATGTTAGATTATGTGTATTATGCTTGGAGTTCATGTGTATTTTATTATACACTTTTGTATATCCGAAATATAGATTTTTTTTTTTTAATTAACGATAGAAATGGAAAACGGCGTCATTTTGACTAGAGCACACAATACAAATTATATTGTGCAGCCTGGTGCACAATATAATTTGCCATACAAACAATATTGGGCTAGCCCAGCTCGCAACCCAATCTGAATATATCACTAAAAACCATTACAACCATTAGCCTAATACCTTTTAGCCCAATTTGAAAAATTATATTGTGAACCCCATATTCCGATGCGAACTATGAATAAATTTTCTTTTTCAATATACTGAAGATTCATTATTTGGTAGTGTATCAAGTAATGAACTTTCAGCATACAAATAATATACTTTCAAAAAATAAACAGTCAATGTTAAAAATGAACATTTAGTATATATATAAAAAGAAAATGTAACTTATAAAATAGACCATGATTGAATTGTACCAATCGTTATGCGATGGACCCGTGTCCAGCATAACAATGCCTAACGGCACTGTTATCTCCTTCTTCTTTCTTTTTTCTTTTCTTTTTTTTTTTTTAAAAAAAAATTCAGACCGTTTCGTTATAGGAGTATATGTTCATAATTTTATTACTATATATGTTAATAACTGTACATTCATAACTCCATAACTGTATGTTCATAACTCTATAATTGTACATTCATAACTCCATAACTGTACATTCATAACTCCATAACTGTACATTCATAACTCCATAATTGTACATTCATAATTTTCGAAGCTCTATGTTCACAATTTTAGAGCTCTATGTTCATAATTTTATCACTATATGTTCATAATTGTAAGTTCATAATGTCAGAGTTCTTTGTTCATAATTCGATCAATAATTGTACATTCATAATTCCATAACTGTAGATTCATAATCTCATAACTGTATATTCATAACTCCATAACTGTAGATTCATAACTCTATGGCTGTACATTCATAACTCCATAATTGTACATTCATAATCTTCAAAGCTCTATATTCACAATTTTAAAGCTCCATGGTCATAATTTTATCAAATATGTTCATAATTGTAAGTTCATAATGTTAGAGCTCTGTGTTCATAATTTCATAATTGCATAACTGTACATTTATAACGGCATAACTGTACATTCATAACCCAAAAGAAATAACGCCGTTAACGGCAAAACACGCACGAATTTTTTTTTAACTAAATGACGCGTTTTTTAAAAAAAAAACGACGGCGTTCATTGTGGACACGGGTCGAGGGCATAATTTGCCGAATTGTACTCACAAGGCCACAATATACCAAAAATGAAATTGTATAGACATTTATATAATAAGATGGACCCGATCCAAGATATAATAATTGGGCTTACAATTTCAAATCTCAACTGCAATATGGAACAAAGACTTATTTCAAAAAAAAAAAAAAAAAAAAATTAATAATTGTGGAACACAAGAAAGGCTTGAATCCAACGGCTGGGATTGGGCAACTCACGGCCACCCATAATGGCCGGAAAACTATCCGGAAACTTCTCCTCTCCGTTCATGTCTAAACAAAAAAGCTCCAAATTAAACATACATTCTCAGGCTCCATTCTTCTTCTCCAAATCATACATTCATACATACATACATCTGAAATAATATTGTGAATTAGAAGAATGGCGGCAGTGACGGCGCGTGAGGAGAGCGTGTACATGGCCAAGCTGGCGGAGCAGGCGGAGAGGTACGAGGAGATGGTGGAGTTCATGGAGAAGGTGTCGTCCTCGCTGGCGGAGTCGGAGGAGCTGAGCGTGGAGGAGCGGAACCTGCTGTCGGTGGCGTATAAGAACGTGATCGGGGCACGCCGGGCGTCGTGGAGGATCATCTCCTCCATCGAGCAGAAGGAGTCGTCCAAGGGGAACGAGGATCACGTTAATTCCATCCGCGATTACAGATCTAAGATCGAGAAGGAGCTCTCCAACATCTGCGATGGCATCCTCAAGCTCCTTGACTCCAGGCTCATCCCCTCCGCCTCCGCCGGCGACTCCAAGGTCTTCTATCTTAAGATGAAGGGCGACTACCACCGCTACCTCGCTGAATTTAAGACCGCTGCTGAGCGCAAGGAGGCTGCTGAGAGCACTCTCTCCGCCTACAAATCCGCCCAGGTCCTTATCTACAATCCTTCATTGCATGCTTAGCTTTCAAATCTACTGATTTACCATTCCAATTATTTTTTTTTGAGTGACGATGGAAATGAGGCCACCAACTATTCGAGAATATGCCTGAATGAATTTTGCCTTGTAAATCATATTTTGTTTCATGGATCGCAGGACATTGCAAATACTGAGCTTGCACCAACCCACCCAATCCGTCTTGGACTGGCGCTTAACTTCTCTGTCTTCTACTATGAGATTCTGAACTCTCCTGATCGCGCTTGCAGCCTTGCAAAACAGGTCACCATTTCTGAACATGCATGCTTTTTTTCTTCTTTTTTTAGTAATCATTACCCGATGTGTATGTGCATACCCCACATTGTGATCATTCTAGTCGGCAAAGGACTAGGGAAAACCAACGTTGTCTGATCCATAGTTGATCAGCTCAAATCAAGAAGATCAATAGACCGATCTCTACCACTGAGAGTCAATCTCAATCTTGTAACCTGATCAACTTGGTTGGGATTGGTATTTGGGTTCAACTTTAATTTCCCAACATAAAGATTTAAGCTTTCATGGTTTTCTTTACTTTTCTTGTTTGTATACTGCAGGCCTTTGATGAAGCAATTGCAGAGTTGGACACCCTGGGAGAGGAGTCATACAAGGATAGCACCTTGATCATGCAACTTCTCCGTGACAACCTCACTCTCTGGACATCCGACATGCAGGTACATACTTTTTCTCAATAATTGAAAATAGAGAATGAAAACGAGTAGAGAAAAGAAATCATCACAGAATTGAAGTAAAGTAGCCTAAACATGTAGTTTTTAATTTGGTGCAGGATGATGGGGCTGATGAAATCAAGGAAGCTCCGAAGAAAGAAGAAGAGCAACATTGAGGATGGTTGGCATTGTACCAGGAGCCGCAGCAGCAGCATTGTTCTACTTGCATCTCCTAGATTATTGTTTTTGTTCTATGCAATGGTTTTTCATTTAGAGGTTCTATTGTCGTCATTCAAAATCAACTGTTTTACTCCCTCTTGAGTGAGTTTTTCATTAGGTGTTTTGAGTTGTATTGGGGCATTGGATGTATACAAAACCTTAACCATCCTTTCTCATATGGGAATATTAATAAGCCTCCGCATTTGCAATCTTATATACTTAGCTTGTTACCAATTTGTACCAAATATAACCATCTATGATATGTCTAGTTACACGGTAGAATCAACAACGTAGAATTAATAGACCAAATTGGTTAGCGGTTCTGGTTGTTGGTTAGGATCACAAGACGAGTTTATCCTGTGCATGTAGCTGAATGAACTAAAAATGATTCTCATTTGCATAGTGACTTCACATTGTGTAGTAGGTTTAATCAAACATAGTTTCCCTTTGAGGGCAAATACCATAAACCATACAAAAACAGTCCAAGGTTGGTTGAAGCCTACTTTGTACCACAATGGTCCCAATGTAGGACACCCGACCCGACCTGATGAAAACTCAGGTCATATGATTTAGGTCAAACTTACACTTATGAGTTGATGGGTAGAAATAATTGAAGCTCTGACACATGTTACAATCAAACATGTGTCTAACATATGGATATTTTCAATTCGCTATCTCATATCTGATAACGCTAATACAATCTGATACAATCTCATAAGATTGCTAAACAAGCCCTAAGTCTTACATAAAGTTCACAACAACAAAAGAAACAACTCTATCTCCATGTTGAATTATCTACCAAATTTGCTGGTTTAGAAGAAAAATGTAGAGCCAAAACAGTTTAAAAAATCTCGAGTCTTTTTCTCCCAAAATATCCATGACAATAATATTCCACTAAGAAACAAATTTTTGACTGAGAAGAAGGAATACAAGGTTGTTTTTCACTGTCCTTAAACATCCATTTACAAAAGAACCACCTATTTTCAGATTGGTAATTTGGATTCATCTCACCAAATGTACAAGTTTCAAGCTAATATACCATATATGATATACCCATTGTGAAAAAGATTGAATTTTTTTGGTTTTCATTCAAGACCCTAATTAAAGTTCTTACCTTTTTTGGGATTTTGTTTGTACTGAAGTGAAATTACTCAAATGCCCTTCCAGGTTGGGCTGGGGACTGGAACTGTCGGCGAAAGGGGTAGCTGCTGGAACCCTAGTTGACTGGACGGAGAAAGGAGGAGACCGGGAGAGTGCAGCGGGTAAGAGGACCTCGGCGACGGCAAGCACCCGAAGGGGAGTGGGGATGATGGCAGCGCCGGAAATGGTGGAATGGGTGGCGCCGATGATGGCTGTGGAGGAATGTTCTGCAGCTGCGGCGGAGGAAGAGGCGGTTGAGGCTGCGCCGGAGCTGGGCCGGTCCACCGCGGGGAATCGAGAGGGGCGAGCGGGGAGAGAGCGGTGGAGAATCGCTTGGGATCGGAGTCTATGGCGGCGCCGGAGATGGAGCCGCGGAGGAACCTCATGTAGGCGGAAATCGGGGACTCCGCCGCCCCATGAACCGCCGGAAACGGCGGTAAGGGGGAGGGAGGCTGAGCTTGAACGTGGCGCTGATCGCCGATAAACCCTCCACCACCCAGCATCTGATTGGTGGGGAGCGGCTGAAGAGGAGGGCCGCCGACAACGTTCATCAGCTGCGGCGGCCGGTTACCGATTTGCGCGAGCGGCGGCGGGCGAATCCTCTGCAGCCTCGAACTGGGCGGCTTGGGCTGGTGAATGGGCGGCGGAGTAGCCATCCGCTCATGCGCCGGAGATCCGGTGAGCTTCTGAACCACATCGCGAAAATCACTCTTGTTTATATTATAAACCGGAGGCTGCTGCTGCGGCGCCGCCGCCGCCGCAGCAGGCGGCTGAGCCTGGACATCATTAACTATCTGAGAACTGAGAAGACTCTGATTCTCATACACCGGTGGCCTCCGAACAGGCTTAGAAATCTTATGAGAAATCTTGCTAAGATTCTTCAAGATAGTATCGCTTCCGCCATTATTATTACCGCTTGAAGCAGATAGAGTAGTGGAGGAAGAATCAGCACCGCTCCCTGAAGAATGAGAACCTCTATCCATCAACCGCCACACAAATAACACACCTCTTCTCCTTCTTCTTCTTTCTCTTTCTAGATATCTTTACCTCTCTCTCTCTATAATTGTGTGCGCTTCTGTGTGGGGCTGTATCTATATCTTTTTGTTTATACCAAATCTTTCATGGATAGAATTTGATTTGTTTTTAACTTTTTAGGATGTTATTCAAGATGAGAATGATACGTGGATTTCTATTTTTTACTCTTAACTTTTATTTTTCACACAAAATTTTGATATAAGCACTTTTATTGGAATCTAAAAAAAAATAACTTATCAGAACTCTTCATATGAGAGAGTAAAATTGAAGGGGTAAGATTTAAGAGTACATGTAGTATAACTATATTCAATAATATTTCTTTTCAAGAATTGTCTACTATATCCTTTTAAGGCATCCTTATCAATGCATTTTGGTGTGATTTTTGAAAAGACAGAGCGTATAGGGAGGAGAGAGAAAAAATGGAATTCTTGCATGGAAGACTGTGTTTTTGTTTCCTTAGTGGGACCCACCAAGAAAGAAGATAATGAAATGCGCCTCGCGTGAGGCGCAAATCTTGCGTCCAGCCGAGCGCGTGCAATGGGCGTGTAAATCTTTGCTTCTTTTATTTTTTGTAATTTTATTTTATCATATTTTGTTTTTGTTTTTTGCTTTTTCTTCTTTCTCTTCCCTCCCATATTCTTCATAGTCACACCTTAAAAACTCTTCAAAAATTACAACTAGTGGAGATGCTCTTAATCATAACGAGTCGAAGAATTCAACATTCACTCTACTCTATCACTGAATTGTTAAATAAATTTTAAGTGATATTTTTCATTCATTATAACAATGCTATGTGTGCAATTTTTTAATGAGTTCGGACACGTACTAATGAGTTCAACTTTAAACGAAAAATATTAGTCATGAATTCAAATATCGTATTAAATTTAATTTTAAAATAATAAAAATTCAACGTGACTATTAGATAGTTAAAGAGTTGATAATGAATTAGTACACATACCAAGAGCTCAATTTCAAACGTAAAATCTTAGTCATGAATTCATATCGCGTACCAAATTTAATCTTAAAATAATAAAAATTTAACGTGACTATTAGATAACTATGAAAATGTACTAAAAAGAGCAACAATTAAAAAAAAATCATATAATATTTCGTTGTTGCTTATCGTAGCAGCCTAGAAGGTTTGGCATGACCACAAGCATTGTAAGTGGGGACAAAACAAAACGACAAATGTGTAATACGAATTTATAATTTTTTAATAAAAATATCTGTTAGTATAATATACTCCGTAATATTGAGATTATAGTACTATACCCTAATTATCCGGAACAATTTTATAATATACTTTAATTAATATTAACGATAAAATAATAATAATAATAATAATAATAATTATTATGATGATGATGCATGCTTTGGAGCTTTTAAAAGGCGAGAAAAAAAAAAGAGGATTATGTCTTTAAACCCCGTAATTAGAAGATGTTTTGGGTGTAATCCGAAACTAAACCAAAACGAGGAAGCGTGTAAAAGCATGATGTCCGTTGGATAAAGTAATAACGTTGTTGAGTTTTACTCATCTTCACATGCAAGACGAATACGTACGTAGGTTGTTTAATTGACAAAGGAAAAGGGTCAAATAAGTCATCAAACTTTAACTGAAAAGTCAATTAATTTTGTTTTTTTTTTTAAGCTGTAATTAACCATCAATAATTTATTTTAATGTAATAAAGTTAAAAAACTGGGTAATGACCTGTTATCACAGGTCATTAGAGTTTCGACAACCCACCGGTGAGATTTTGGTGAGCAGTCGTCGGTCACAGAAAAAGAGACCAAGGTTGTCTTCTCCGGCGAGAAGGTGGCCACAGTGGTCGCCTTCGGAGATACAAATATTTTTTTAATCGCATTAAATACAACTAAAAAACTAGACATGCATTTTGTGGAGTATCTAATTTAGATATTGACTAATACCTTAAATTCATCACAAATTGTATACATTAATATTAAATTGCAAATAATTGAATACAATTTTCATTAGGAGTAATTTGCTTCGATAGAAGTGGACGAGTAAGTTAAATATAATTATTGTATCAAAAAATTACAAATTTAATTATTATCAATATTCTACCGTTCTACATTTTCATGTAATAATTATGAATTTCTCTTATCGCCCAAAATTATTAAGGAGTAGTAGTTTCTAGATTTTCTTTTCCTCATTCGTGGGCCCAAACTTGGTCATTGTTAGGTAGGTTAAACCTGCGGAATGCGTTTGATTAATTAGGTGCTGAACATGGTTTGCGTTTTCATTTTGTCCTTATAAGGGTTAGGTTAAACTTAAATATTATAATGATACTTGACCTCAAAAAATATTATTTACTATAAATATACAATAATAACGATGTTTAATCTCAAAATTAAATTATGAAATTAAAATTTTTAATGCTATGTTATAAAATATCACAATAATTACTAGAAGTACAAATAAGGAAAAGACGAGTAAATAATATTATATAGTGCTATTAGTTCTCTATTCGTGCAGTGTCGAACTAATCATGTCAATGTTATTGTTAATATTTTGAATAATAATAATTGATAGATAAAATTATATATGATGATAGGGGTCCATGCCTTTCTGGTGTATATGTTGGGTAGCAGAGATATAGAAGAGCATCGTGCTTCTTATTATTTGTAAAGTATAATAGATGTGTAGTAAGCCCACGAAAATGGTGGTTGAGTACATTGGGTGAAGTATAACTCAAATACCATAGGATTATGAGTCTAATTTTTGGCAACACCGTTTCGATCATGTCGTCACACCGAGAATTCATAGTTCTCTAGCTTGTCGGATCGGAATTATTGACTATTACACATGAGTGATGTTGGTTTATCCTTGCACACTGTACACCTCTAGTCTAAAAAAAAGTTGTAAGTTGACGTTGTCCTTATTGGTTGGTGAAAGTAGGTTGGGCAGACGACGTGTTAATGTCGTCAGACAGTTATGGTGGCCTAGTTTAACCAGAGTAAGAATGCTACTTGTTTGGAGTTGATCCATTAGATTTATTGTATAAGTTATTGAATTAATTATATTATTATATAACCACATCAATAATACTCCGTATTAGGTTTAGTGCAACTTAGTTGATTATTGGGTGATAGATGTTGGTTTTACGATTAACGGATTACGGATAGATGACGGTAGGTCAACACCACCGTAAAGATAACGAGTGTAGAGAGAGAGAGAGAGAGAGAGAGAGAGAGAGAGAGAGAGAAATAATGATATAATAAGGAATACGTGTTTTATTATGAAAAATTAAAGTTTTACCATGATTTGCGTTTCCATTTTAATTTGGCCATTATAAAGGTTATAGGTTAAACTTAAATATTCTAATGATACTTGACCTCAAAAAATATTATTTACAATAAACATACAATAATAACGATGTTTAATCTCAAAATAAAATTATGAAATGAAATTTTTAAATGTTACACTATAAAATGTCACAATAATCACTGCAAATATAAATAAGAAAATGATGAGTAAATAACATTGTTGATTTTTTGAATAATAACTGATAGATAAAATTATATGGTAAAAAAAAAAAAAAAAAAAAAAAAAAAACTTACCCCTTAACGCGCCAACGATTGAGCGTGTGCAGTCTGTGCGCATGTTGTGCGTGAAACGCTCTAGCTTGCGATAATTCGTTTCATTCTTCTCTCTCCTAGGGGCCCACAAACAACTCTTTTCTTGCAAGGAAAAAATTGCTTATCTTTCATCCACATCATAGTGGGCTCTACAAAAAAAAACCAAAAAAAATATGTTGGTGTGGTTGCTCTAAGTGGGTGAAATATAATTCATCTACTATAAGGGGTCGTTTGGTTCATGGAATGTCAGATTACCTTAGGGAATGTTAGATTGCTGAGAATGTTAGAATTCTGTGTTTGGTTAAAACTGAGATATGTAATATAAAGCTGTTTGGTTGAAGAATTGTTCTTTGTGTTATAATGGTTATTTTACTTTAATACCCTCTACATTTTTCATGCATTTCAATGTATGAAGTTCAAAAATTTTGTATTAACTTTCACTGCAAAAGAACTATCAGTAAGAATGCAAAAATAAATGTGAGAGAGAAACCAAGGATATCAAGGGCAAATTTTATAAAAGAGTGAAGGGTAGAGTCTGTAAAAAAAAAATGCAAGGGAATCTTACATTACCTAAGAAAATCACATTCCCTTCAAAATAAGGAAAATGTTGATGTGGAGGTTAAATCTTATTCCATGGGAATGTTAGATAACTTCAACCAAACACATGAATGTCATATAACCAACTAAAGATAACCCTTGTTATCTTAGATAACCCGAACCAAACTCCCCCTAAAAATTATGAGTCTAATTTTTGCCAACACATTCTCAATCATGCTTGTCACACATGGACTTCTTAATTCTTTTGTGAGATTTATCAACTATTACATAGAGCGACGTTGATTTACCCTGCACACTGCACACCTTCGGACAAAAAAGTTGCAAGTGGGGTGACGTTATCCTTCTTGATTGGTCAAAGTTGGGTGGGCAGACGACGCGTTAGTGTCGTCAGACAATTATGGTGGCCTAGTTTGACCAGAGTAAGAATGCTACTCGTTTGGAGTTGATTCACTAGATCTATTATTTGAGTTATTGGATTAATGCTATTATTGTATAACCACATCAATAATATTAGGTATCATGACGTTGGCCTGTATGTGCAACTTAGTTGATTATTGGGTGATAGATGTAGAGAGAGTAAAATAATGATATAATAAGGAATACATGTTTTATTATGAAAATCGGATTTGTTTTACCATGATTTGCGTTTTCATTTTGTCAATATAAAGGTTATAGGTTAAACTTAAATATTCTAATGATACTTGACCTAAAAAAATATTATTTACTATAAATGTACAATAATAACGATGTTTAATCTCAAATTTTAATTACGAAATGAAATTTTTTAATGCTACACTATACAATGTCACAATAATTACTGGAAATATAAATAAGGAAAGGATAAGTAAATAGCATTGTTGATTTTTTGAATAATAATTGATAGATAAAATTATATTGTGAAAAAAAAAAAAAAAAACTTACCCCTTAACGCGCCAGCGATCGAGCGTGTGCAGTTTGTGCGCATGTTGTGCGTGACGATAATTCCTTTCATTCTTCTCTCTCATGAGAGCCCACAAAACTCTTCTCTTGCAGAAAAAAAAAATTGCAAGTGGGTTGACGTTATCCTTCTTGATTGGTCAAAGTTGGTTGGGCAGACAACGCGTTAGTGTCATCAGATAATTATGGTGGCCTAGTTTGACCAGAGTAGGAATGCTAGATCTATTGTTTGAGTTATTGGATTACTGATACTATTGTATAGCCACATCAATAGTATTAGGTATCATGATATTGGTCCGCACGCGCAACTCAGTTGGTTCTTAGGTGATAGATGGTTTTACAATTAACGGGCAGTCAACGGTGTGTTAACACCGTTGTTAATATAACTAGTGTAGAGAGATAATAAAAGAATGATATAGTAAAGAATAAGTGTTTTATTATGAACAAATCAGATCCATTTTGCTTTTTGTGAGGGTTCATACAAGAGGACTTGGTGTATTGGAAGGGAACTAATTCATAAGATCTCTTGCATTAGGAGACCTTATTAGTTATTACAGTAGAAAATAAATAATAGAGTCATACCGCGCCAAGAATTAACATGAGATAATCCACTCCTACTCAAACCGGATTAGTGAACTATGAGCCCCCACCTTATTTACACAGCTTGCTAGCCTCCCAAGTCATCCATGTCCTATCATAGTCGACAATTAAGGTTCGACCAGTTGCCGGGAACAAGGACCGACTGAATAGGCCTTAGTATTAATAGATTATGAGCAAAAACACATGATTTACTTCTGCAGTGTAATAGTATTATCTAATGTGATGAGTTCTCTGTGAGTATTAAGCATTGAGTTGTCTTTTATGGACAAAGTTCTCTGACGCTGTATAATTAATTGACCGTTAGAATGGATGGATTGAGGATGTAATTAAATGTAGAAATCATTAAAACTTTACCAAATCATTAAAACTTTACCAAGTAGGTATGAATGTATGACGTGTGTTTAATAATAGAGGTCTTATCCAATAAATATTAATAAATCAAATAATTATTACTGCCACCCACCAGTCCACCACTGGTGACCGTTTTGTTCAAAACTTTACCAATCGTTATACCCTACACCACGGCGCACATAACATTGTGCGCCGCGCGCCTCCCAAAACGACGTCGTTTTGGATCGTTTTGGGAGGCACGGTAGGAAGTTGCTGGGATTATGTGTATTTGTTCACACAGTTATGTGTATTTGTTCATATAGTTATGTGTATTGGTTCATACAGTTATGTACATTTTTTATACAATTATGTACATCCGAATCAGAAAATTTGTGTGTATTATGTTAATAGTTGATGTGTATTATGTTAAAAGTTTATGTTTATTATGTATTATGTTAGATTATGTGTATTATCTTTTAAAAAGAGTATGTATATTTTGTTATATAATTATGTACATTCATGTATACAATTATGTGTATTCTAGTATAACATTATGTACATTCTTGAACAGCGGATTTTTTTTAAAAGAAAAACTACCGCCATTCACTGGGGCGGGAAATTTCAAAAAAAAAAAAAATTAAAACGACGCCGTTTTGCATCTGGGCGCATAGTGCAACGCGCGCCGTGGTGTAGGATATAAATTGCCAAACTTTACCTTCTGGGCTATAACTGGGCTTTACCACATCTTTGACTAAGCCCAACGACAGGAATTTACTAACAAATAGGCCCAAATTATCCAGGCCCACGAACAACACCACCTCGAATCATGTGACGTGTCAACCGGAGGCCGCCCCCTCAGCTTCTGGAAATTCTAGCAAAAACCTAAATTCTCTCCTCTCTCTCTCTCTCTCTCTCTCACAGATCGGCCGCCGTTTGCTGCTGGTCAAACAATGGCAGACGTCGATAGTGCTAAACACCCAACTCTCTCTGAGGTAATACTCTCCGTCTCTTTCTCTCTAATTTCACGCCTGTGCCGACACTTTTCATGTATGATCTGATTCTTTTTTTCATGAGTTGTACTTCTTCTATCTGTATTTGATTTTGTTAAAAGTTTGATTTTTCATTGGGCACTTGAGATTTTTCCTCCTGGAGCAGTCTGGGTTGACTGGGTCAGTTTTAATTTGAGAACTTGTGGTGTAGATGATAGGTTGATAAGCCTAGTTAATTCTAGCTTTTTTGCAGTTTTTGGAAGACTATCATGTTGAATTTCAATGTTTCTTTGTAATTCCAAGGTTCTTGGAATGAAGATTTGTGGTCTGTATATAGATTTAAGTTAGCTACTTAATAAGGTTCTTTGGGTGCTAACTATATGTGTGTTTGTGCAAATTTAATAGCTAGTGGATTTTATTGTTTCTGCTTCTTTCCTGTACCCTTTTAAGAAATCCTGCTTTTTGCAGAGATTTCGATTCAATTTGACATGTTGTACTTGATCTGGAAACCTAAAAGCTTGCAGTTTTTTAGTTTTTAATGTTTTCTGCCTTCCCCTATAGAATGTAATAATCATTTGGGAAGGTAATTTCTCTGGCATCATTGGCAATTGCATACATGCTTAGTATACTGATTCATATCTGCTCCTAACTATTCCTATGCATTTCTTCATAAGTTCATACTGCCCTCTACTTTGGTTTAGCTTCAATTCATTCTTTCGGAAATTCATGAACTTATAATTAGTATGTACGTTTGATACAGTGGAAGTGGTGGTTGATTTTTCATGTATAAGCACCTCAAAAACCTCTTACTTTGGTTTTTGCTTTTAGATTTTCTCCTACCCAAGAGATGCTCTTTTTTCTGCATATTTCAATGTTTTTATTGTGTTGATTGACAGCAATATTTACTGAAAGAGAAAGAAGAGAAATTGGACGCACCTGTCGAGCCAGTAGAAGATGATGCTTCTAAGACCACTGAAAATACTTCGTCGGAGGAAGTTGCTCCAAAAGCTGATGAATCCCCTGCTGTTGAGAGTAGTGCAGCTGCTGAAGAAAGTAGTGTAGCATCTGATGCTGCTCCTGCAGTTGTAAGTGATGAACCTTCTGCCACTGAAGCTGCCAGTGAAGAAAGCAGCCCGAGTACCGAGGATGATACCTCGGGTGGTCAAGAAACCGCTGATGAAGCTGCAGAGGTTAAGGTAATCCTAAGTATTGTTTGTTTTTTAATAGTGCATTTGCTACGAATATTCTTTATTGCATATGCTGATTGTTTTTTTCGTGTGTTACAATTGGGCACCAGCTTGAGACAGCTCCAGCAGATTTCCGTTTCCCTACTACAAATCAGACCAGACACTGTTTTACCCGATATGTAGAATATCATCGGTGAGTCAAACAACAAAGCAGCTATGTATTTTGACGATTATGGTATTTGTTCATTTAACAAATTTAGTTTATGCTTATCAAATATTGATTGACTTGTTTTGCCTTTCAGGTGCATTGCTGCAAAGGGTGAAGATGCATCCGAGTGTGACAAGTTTGCAAAGTATTATCGTTCTCTTTGCCCCGGAGAATGGGTAATGTTTTCTCCACGATTTTGCACTACCCAAGTTGATCCTTTGTGTTTTAGTTCGTATTTCTTTTTGGCATTACACAAATCAATTAGCATGACAAACAATGATACACGGTTCAACTCTGATTCTTGCGTGTTGTTATGTTGCTTCGGCTGCAGATAGATAGATGGAACGAGCAAAGGGAGAACGGCACCTTTCCTGGTCCAATATAGACTTCAACGGAGCCATGGTTGCTGGCGTCGGCTTTGGAATTTGAATGTCACAAGCTTTTTGGGGTGCTGTTGAAGCACAATGAGATAATAATGTTTTGGCTTGTTTGTTGAACTAAGTTCAAGTCAAATATGATTTTAGTGATCCTACTGCTCTTTGCAACCAATTCTTGCTGATAAATTTTACTCAAAAACCTAATACTATCCATTATAGTTTGGACCAATTTGGCTCCTATGTTTCTCTTATAGTCAATTGATTGATCCTTGATGTGTTTTGGTTACTAATTCTTGCCCATACTTCTTAACCAATTCATCTAAATTTTTACAAGGTTAAAGGTATCATTATAAACCGGTAAAAGTCAAGTGAAACTTGTTTGCGTGTGACGAGCTTGACTAAAATAATATGATAATTATGTTCTACCTATTTGGTCATTTCTTTTTTCTTTTTTCTTTTTTTTTTTATTTTTAATACTACTGACTCTCTATTATAATATAGTATCTGTTCATAACCATTTTCTCATTTGTCTTCTGAGGCTAGTCATTTTTTATAAAACGGCTTTTTACTTTTAAAAGAGATTGTGGGAGATACACCCATTGTTCTGAGGTCCTTGTGAGTACTATACACTGGCCTTCCAATACAATGAGTTGCTAAATTACTATGATTTACTGATTTATTCCTCTACTATATTGTACGAGTTTCTTCAGTATAATTGTACGAGTTTTGAAAGTGAGTGAATTTCATCTTTTGTGGAAAAGATAATAACTTTAAAAGTTACATATAATCCCCCATGGTACTATACTACTATGATAGCACATATGTTAATGGACTTAATGCAAAAATTGTAGAAAAACATTCTTGAAAATGTTACACCATATATGGGGGCAAAATGGGAAAACTTGATACAAATCCTAGACCGGTGGCCGCCGGATAAACCCAGTCTACCCTTTTCTCTTTGCGGGTCAGATGCCACTCAACTGAGCAAACAAAGCTTTAGCCATGGCGTTGCAATACTGCTTCACATCATCAACCTTCAAATCCCTCAAGCTCACTGCCCTCCCATCGCTTTCCCTCTTCAGACCCATTCCCAGAACCGCGCCTTTACGCCTAATCCCCCACCATTCATCTCCCTCTTTTCCTCTCCCGCACCTGCTCAGAGCTCTCTCCGTTTCCGCCGTCCAATCCACCGTCGCAGACGCCCCTACCACCACCGAGGACAGTAAAGGTTGCTGCTTTTTCTCATTTTCTCTTGACCCTTTCATAAGTAAATTTATTGGGTATTTGATAAAGATTGAATTTTGGTGACTAGCTGCGAAGCCCCCTCAGTGGAAAGCCGCGATAGATTTCAAGTGGATTAGGGAGAACAAAGAGGCTGTGGCTGTGAATATTAAGAACCGAAACTCCAATGCAAACTTGGAGCTTGTTCTGGAGTTGTACGAGCGGTTGCTCAATGTTCAGAAGGTTAGGTTGATTTGCATTGTGTTAGATTTCTCTAATCAATGGTATAATATGAAATTAATGGAGTTAGATTAAATGCCATTAATGTTGGTTACTGCATTTTCATTCTTGAAGTTTACTGTTTAATACTCCTTTGTAGTGTTAGTGTCTGAGTTTTTATGAATATTGCAATTCCCACTTTGCCCACAAAAGGCGAAATTCCCTTGCCTCGGGTCTTTACCCCCTGGCACGATAGGATAGTGGAGGGATAAATTATGGAGGTCTAGTTTCTTCTCGAGTGTAGCTAATTGTTAGTCACAGATAGCAGGAAGTTGAAAGGCTTCGGGCCGAGAGAAATGCTGTTGCAAACAAGATGAAAGGCAAACTGGAACCAACCGAGCGCCAAAAGCTCATAGACGAAGGTTTATATAACGTTGTGTTGAACTTAGAAACGTTTTGTTGACTGTTGTTATCTTCTTCAATCTTTCTTGTATTTTTCCAGGGAAGAATTTAAAGGATGCTCTTGTTAGTCTGGAAGAAGAGCTTCTGAAGCTTACTGACGAGCTTCAGCAAGAAGCCCAGTCTATACCAAATATGACACATCCAGATGTCCCATTGGGGGGAGAGGATTGTTCTACTTTGCGTAAAATGGTACTATTTTAGACTAGTTTCTTGATCGTTCACTATACATCTTATAATATCAATAAACGTATTTGTAGGTTGGTAAACCTCGTGAGTTTAGCTTCCCGATAAAGGATCATGTACAGCTCGGAAAGGATTTGGATTTGTTAGATTTTGATGCGGCTGCTGAGGTATTTTCTATTTTTCTTCCTTTCCCAAAATTAGTTCTAACAATCTCGCTTTTTTAAAAAAAATAGGTCAGTGGGTCAAAATTTTATTACTTGAAGAATGAAGCGGTTATGTTAGAAATGGCTCTCGTAAACTGGTCTCTCACAGAAGTAATGAAAAGAGGCTTTACACCGCTGACTACCCCAGAAATTGTCCGGTCCTCTCTTGTTGAAAAGTGTGGTTTTCAGCCCCGTGGAACTACCACTCAGGTTTACTCCATTGAGAACACCGATCAATGCCTCATTGGCACTGCAGAGATTCCGGTTGGGGGAATTCATATGGATTCCATGCTTCCCGAGTCGTCATTACCGTTAAAGTATGCGGCTTTCTCCCATTGCTTCCGCACCGAGGCTGGTGCTGCAGGCACTGCAACGAGGTAAACTAACCATAGTTTTAATAGTTATTACTCGGACCACAGTTCAAAATTAGAAGAAAGGGTAACTTTACGATTTTGCCCCTCAGATTATACACTAAATGAAGGATTAAGTTTTTCTGGCAAAATTTGGCCGGAGTGACCGAAATTGATAAAAATTGCATAGTCAATGTACTAAATTAACACTTTTGAAAGTCGTGGACTGCAATTAACCAGACCCCTATAGTCACAGGACCAAAATTTCTCTTCTATTCCCGAGTTTTAGTCATCTGGCATGAGAAAACATAACATTTCCGTGACCATGCATCACATAGTTTATACTTTGGGGCAGGGGTCTTTATCGAGTTCACCAGTTCAGTAAGGTGGAGATGTTCATATTATGCCGACCAGAGGAAAGCAACGCTTATCACGAAGAGCTTATTCAAATCGAAGAAGACCTCTTCACGTCCCTAGGATTTCATTTCAGGTGCATATCAGAGTTTCGTCTTTGTTCATTATGTGCATATGCGTTTCCTTATTAAAAAGGCGGGGTTTAGCCTTTCACATGTATCTTCTATATTGCTCCCCCTTCCCCGTGATCTTTAGTTTATAACTCTTTGCAGAACAATGGACATGGCATCCGAGGATCTAGGCGCCCCCGCTTACCGCAAATTTGACGTGGAGGCATGGATGCCTGGTCTGGGCCGGTATGGCGAGGTAACAATAACAAAGCGTGTTTTTTTTTTTTTTTTTTTTTTTTTTCTTTTCCGAATGCCTCTTGAATTGTATACTTGGGGGAATGAGAACTTATGCAAACTAATGAAACTAGTCTAAAACACCTACTGGGGTTTAAAATCGTATTTCCTGATGATCTTGAACAGATTTCCAGTGCATCAAACTGTACTGACTATCAGAGCCGCAGACTGGGAATAAGGTATCGCCCAGAATCATCATCTGCAAATTCGAAGAAGGGTAAAAACCTTCCTCCCCCGCAATTTGTGCACACGCTGAATGCCACTGCGTGTGCAGTTCCGCGAATGATTGTGTGCTTGCTCGAGAATTATCAGCAAGAAGATGGCTCTGTTATCATTCCTGAGCCTTTATGCCCTTTCATGGGTGGCCTTCAGATCATCAAACCGAGACTCAAATAGGAAAAATTTTGAATCCTGGTTCTTATTTTTTGCATTAACATACTGTATCCCTTGATATATAGTGTTCTTTTGTTCCCCATAAATCCTTTTTTTTTTTTTTTTTTTTTTTTTTTTTTTTTTTGAGAATTTGAATTTCCTGCAAGAGCAGCATAATTTAGAAGACAAGAAAGAATCTGTATTTAGCTTGTTCTCGTCACTTACCTGCAATTTTGTAGAGCACAAGATTTCTTCTATGTGAAGCTTCCCATTTTTACCTAATATTTTAGTGAAATATTCCCAGTTCATATGAAGTTATTAATTTCTTCTCATCAATCAGGCTGGCTGATATAATATTGAATACCCTTTTTGAAATAAAATAAAAGCAGTAATAAGAGGTTGGATGTGATGAAAATTTGTGCCATTCATTGCAGCAGTTAAAAACAAAGAATGCCCACAAATATTTCTGCAAAAACTCCTCTTCCTATACTTGTGTTCAAAAGAATGCTCAGAAAAGCAAACACAAAAAAATAGTTTGCTTAATGTACACATTGCTTTCCTGTGAGAAATCTCTCCTCTGTAATCTCTGTACAATCTGTGCTTTAAGTTCCCCTTGAAGCCAAAAGATGACATATACTCATCTTGCAGCCCGAGTTGATCCACCGTTAACTCCTATGGCTCTAGCTTCAATAATTACGATGCCTGTAAGCTCGCTCGGGTGTTCTTTCCTTGGGGTGGGGAGAGACATTCTTCTCGTCTCTCGTTTATTTGGTAGCGTGGGAGTTGTTTGTATATGGTGGCTCCGTTTGACACAGGCAATCTGGTAAAGGATTCACATAAAACGCCTCTTCTGAACGGGACCTATCCATTCCTTTTGTTCCTGAAATTGGCCCTTTTCTCTTCCTTGGTGATCCTTGCCTGAGCATCCAACAATTAAAAACACAAGAACTGAAAACATCACGATTTCTTGAAAAAATATTCAAAAGAAAAAAAAAAAAAAAAACCTAATCGGGCTTAATGTACCTTCTTTTATGGATTTCAATCAAGCGGTTTGACAGGTTACTGCCTTCTTTCATTTTCCCCATCTGAACTTTGTCAAAAAAGCGAACGAGTACTTTCCTGAAGAGTACGGGAAGGTGATTTAAGCCACGCTAATGGATAGTGTAACCTAATCTGGATATACAAAATAAGGGAACTTGCCTATCAGGAGAAATAGTTTTCCTATGTCCTAGGAACCGACGATGACCCTCAACTGCTCTTGCCATATTTCCCGAGTATGAAGGGATAAATATGTCGCTCTCAACTGACACAATATAGTCCAGCGCAGCCATCTGAGATGCATGGTTCACAAATGGTTCAAGCTCTGCAGCAGATGCCAACTTTTCCTGCACGATAAAACAGTATGAATCAATCGTCAAACCTGATGTCTCACATTCTCCACGACCAAACTGAATAAAAGACAGCACTACACTGCAAAATTCTAGTATATACCTTATTCATTAATAAGGGATAGCGTGATCGTAGATCAGACATGCGGGATTCACCCCCATATATCTCCCCAGCGGCGATGTATATAGGAGTTTTCGACGGAAACCCTAGAGATGAAAGGAACATTCCAACCTCCTTTGGAGTTAACGGGCAATAGCCTTTGGCTCTCTGTTCTAACGGATCAATGTCTTTCACTTTCCACCAGGTCGTGTTCTCCCTGAAAACGAGAAACAAATCAAATCTACTGTATTTTTTTTAAAAAAATTACTCTATAAGTGCATGAACTTAGAGGTTAGTCCTACCTGATTTCTTTTAATTCCTCCGCTTCTTCTGGTGATAAATCGTTGGTGCATCCACTAAAGGCAAGCATGTCTTTTTCATATCGTAAATGTAAAGCAATATATGGACCATAGGATCTCATCCGGTCAACCAACAACTGCAAGAATAACAGAACGATAAGATGAAAATCTGTAGCACATGGGACAAAATGACAAGAACAGCACCACTGCAATTGAAAGTACGAATGACAAAACCAACCTTTCCCATTGCCTCGATTTCGGGTGCGAAACGAAGGGCTTCATAACAAGCTCGGCACCGCAATTTTTGAACGTCTGGGGGAAGATTATTATTAGCTAACCGTGAATCAGACTTTGCAGCTCGAATGACCTTATATTCGTTCCACATGCCAGCTATTTCTTCCGCATAGTAATCCATACCGGACCAACTTCTGAAATGCTTAACTGCTCTACTCGCATTTTCCAGTTCAATAGGTAGCTTTCTTATGATCTTGATATCATTTGCCAAAGAACTAATGAAATGATCTTCATCAAAAACATCGGAGAAATTGCTGCAAGCAAGGTATACAGAAGTTCAAACACGAGAAAAAACACCAAACAGAAGTCCAAAAAATAAATGATAAGTTAAGGGAATTGAAGCATGTGCTACATCTCAACTAAAAGCCTAAGCTGATAGTTGGATTGCACATTAATGGCTATATGCTCAACAAAGGGAAAGAGGAGACCTAGAATCGAGCCAAAATGAGCGTTTATCGAGCTCTGGAATCACAAGAGTAGCATTTATAATACGAGCAACAGCAACCATATCACATATCCCAGCCCTCATCTGGTTAAGCCCACCATTTGTATGAACCAGAAGGTAGCCTTGAGACTCCGGAGGAGCTAGAGATCAAACATAGAACGAAAGATCAAAAACCCGCATATACTTATTTCAAGCTCCAACTTATAATCTAACAAAAAAGAACGCTCTTTACATGTGTACGATTCGCTGGGCACTACACAAGGAACATAGTTTCGATTCGGTGGTCGTCTCCATAACTTGTCCAGATTAGAACTCCGATTCGCACCATCCAACTGCCAAACCTAAATGGCTAAATGAGTGAAAACATGAAAGAAATATAAAGACATTGTATCATGAACACCAACAAAAAGTCACCAAAAACGAAACTAATCTATGATAATCATTCTAGCAGCAAATTTCACATAAATCATTCAATCGAAATATCGAGAGCAAAAAGAAAACCTTGCCAGCAGGTCCGGGAAGTTTTGACAAATGGGGCGGGAAAAATTCTTGAGTCCAGCTTCGCTTTCTGCTCCGTCTTTGGTACCCAAATTCATATAGCTATAATCACAACCAAAATCTTAATCAATACATACATACATTGACACATATATGCACACAGATAATGACAACTAAAATGTTTATACATAATGCCTAATCCCCAATAGAAGACAAAGTAAAATACATGGTTCCAAATAATTCCAATCAAAGATTTACACGTGACCTCAAGAAAACCCCAAAAGAACACTAATGTCCCTATTAATAAAACAGACGTTCATAATATGAACCAAATAGACAAATTATAATAACACTAAGAAATGGGAATCCTAATTTCAATACTAATCTCAAAGTTTCTGGGTTCAATATGCGTTCAAGACACTAAAAACTCGAAGCCCTAGCGAGGTAGGGATTCAAAAAACGAGCAATCAAAACTCATTTCCAGAGAGAATTACCGTGGGGAGCTTGTCAGGCAACTTGGTTACCTCCGAGGACGGGAAAATCACTTGGACGTGAGCGGAGAGAAGCGCCACAAGGGCTATTGTCGCTATGGCGCACGTTAGCACCTGGCGCAACACCGCCACCGTCGTCCTCCTCCGCCTCTTCTGCATCATCGTCGCCGTCGCCACCGCCGCCTTCGACTTTCCTGACACTATGGAAGAAAAAAGACCAGAAATTTCAACAGCAATGCACAAAACAAGAACTGCCCTCTTTTTCTTTCTCTAAATTTGTATGGAAAGTTTGTGTATAAATCAGATTCGGGGTTGATTTAGATTCTTTCTTGCCTTTCTCGTGTTAAGCTGTGTATCTTAGTCATGGGGTGTGGCTTTTTTGCTGCTGGGTGGTTTCTTGATGGCATTTATATGCGCAGTTGGAATTTATATATTACTCCCTCAACTCAACAACTGCTTACAATTAAACCCTTCCATCTCATTTTTTATACATCCAACCCCCCTTATCCACCCTCCACCCACTTTTTTATTTTATTTAATAACTAATTCAGATTTGGTTAGAATTGCCCTCGAAAACTTTAATTTTTAGTTAAAAAAATGTCTAAAACAACATTTTTAAAACTAATACACATATATAGCATGTTGTATAGTGCTTATTAATTCTCTCAAACTACTCTGTCAACAAACTTTGACTATTACTTGGAGAAAAGTGTAACATAGAGCTTTTAATTGGCACGCGCGTGCACACACATATATAGGGTCTTGATCAGGTGAAAATAGTCAGCAAGATAAAAAAAAATGAAACCGTTGATTTGTTCAAATCAACGCGCCTTAAAAAAAAGGAGAAAATTTTTTAAACTTTTTAATATAAGTCAATACGCTTGTAATATAAGATTTTTGTACTTTGTAGTATAAATCTTTACACTTTATAGTATATATACTGATGCACTTTCACATATCAATTTTGGAAAAATAGGGTGACATTTTGTTTTTATATTCCCAAAAATAGCAGTTGGGTATAAACTGTGGACAACACTGCAAACTAGTAACAAGCAAAGTTAATGTCAAGAAAATAAAAAAATAAAAAGTAATAGAATGATTGTGTTTACCTATATACCATTTAAATATTTACTTTTCATTTATTTTAATCATTGTTGTTTCTGGGCTTATTGACATTATTTTCCTGTGTTTAATTTTTTTAAAATAAAATTTACCAATTTGACTGAAGTGTAAATTGTAATTTCATCAACTATATACAATTCTTTTTGGGTAGTCAACGGTGACTTATTTCAGAAATGACAAATAATGTATAATTAAGAGACAAAAATGTTATTTTTTTATAATTCAAAAATAAAAAATGTCATTTTTTCTAATTTATATTATGCTCCAGGACTCCAAGGAGAATCGTGATAATATCATATTATATAGCAATGGAGATCACAAAGAAATCTAGCTACTTCATCAAAAAGAGAGAAAATATATATTTTTTTAATTTACTATTTTCTTTGGAGCTGAGGTCAAAAGATTCTATTTTATGAAATAAATATATTTTAATTACATCATCAAATAGGGTATGTATGATGGAAATTTTCAAGATCCCAAAATGTATCTTATTATCCCCTTTCGAGAAGGAAGAGTATAAAAATATGCTTTTAGTTTTATTTTTTGCATTTTAAGAACCAAGATTCAAATGAGAATGAGACTCAGATATTGTACTTTGTTAATTTTATTTCATTTTTTTGAAACAACAGGAAATGTTAATCAAAAAAATATCAAACGGTAGTTATTGAGACACTCCGTCTTTTGTCATGTAACGCTCAGTTTATCCTCGCAGACCACTCTCTTGAATCCAACGGCGGAGTCATCAACTAATTTCATATTTAAGTATTATAATTAACAGTTACAAAATATTTTCTACAAATTTTGTTTATAACACACACATCTTTTTATTTGTGTAACTTTTATATTTTTTTTATGGTACAACATACATTTAGATTTTAGAATAGTAAATTAAACATTTACACAACAACAAAAAAAAAAAAATTGAGTTGGGATCAGAATGGCAGTATGCCAATGATTTCTGCCTGGAATTTTGGACAATAATTAAGGATTATATATATTATTCTCAAAATGTTGAATCCCCACCCCAAGAGTCTCCCTATCCCGACTTGACAGAGCATGATTTTTGCCTGAAATTTTGGACAACTTATCTTGACCCGACAGAACATTACTATGCACAAGGAACCTCTTCACTTTGAGAGGTTGTTTCCGCATTATTATTGGTGAGACTCGATCCTTAGTCATTATACTCAAACTTCACCCCTATATTGTTCCGGGCCCGCTGGAGTATATATATATATATATATATATATATATATATATATATATATATATATATATTGCTTTGAGACTTGGGAGTTTGAGTGCAGATCTCTAGGTACCATCAACGTTTTTTTTTTTTTTTTTTTGGAAGAAGGTGCCATCAACGTTATTTAGCTATTTTTCTTAAGTATTATTGGTATTGACCTGGACTAATACCATAGCTAGAATGGCTCTCTTTGGCAACGCTAAGCTAGGAGCTTATAGCTTATTTTAAGCTACTAATAAGCTATAAGCTCTGTTTGGTAATGTTCCCAAAACAAGCTCCTAGCTTAAAATAAGAGCTTATTTTGGAACGCTACTTTATGTAGCGTTTCAAAATAAGCTCCTAGCTTCCTAACTTTTTTTCCATCTTTACCCTTATTATTTTAAAGTAATGACATGTTTTAACCTTATGAATTAAAACCTTTTCTCTTCCCCTATCTCAACTTTCACGTCAATCCCTTCCTTAGTCTTGTTTTCTGCTAAACAATTATGTTGAAACTTTAGCTTATTATTATTATTATTATTATTATTATTATTATTATTATTATTATTATTATTTTTGTTGTTGTTGTTGATATTGTTGTTGTTGTTGTTGTTGTTGTTATTATTATTATTATTATTATTATTATTATTATTATTATTATTATTATTATTATTATTATTATTAATGTTAATGTTATTTTAAAATTAGCAATATGGCTTCAATCTCAAATTGAACAAGAGCCGTCAACGAAAATTTAAGTCACACTTCTAATATCTCAAATTCAAGTAGTAATACCTCCATCAAAGAAAATTTAAGTCACACCTCTATGGAGATGAAGGAGATTCGCAACAATATTGCTACTTCATTATGGGATGCTAGATCATGATCATGCTAATAGTTTTATTTTAAAAAGTGTTTACTTTTTTTGGAAGACGAAATGTTAAATTTTAATATGTAAACAAATTAATTTAAATTTTATAAAGATGTCATTTTTAGTCTTTTTACATTTATCAGCTTATCAAAAAACTAATTTTACCAAACACTTTCAATCATAACAGCTAGCTTAACAACTCTTCAATTTTCAGCTCCGAGCTTATAGCTTTTCAACTTTAACTCCTTTTCAGCTATCAGCTCCTAGCTTATAGCTTTTCAGCTAGGTTTGCCAAACAGAGCCAATGTCAAATATTACAAATGCAAAAAAGATACTGATATTTTATAAATTATGAAAGTAAAACTATCGCTCTATTTATTAAAGTGTCACTCTCATTTTTTTTTAAATATAATAATAATAATTAGCATAAAAGCATACACATTATTATCAATCTTTTTTTTTTTTTTTTTTTTAGCTCCATAAAACTTAATTGACACAGGTTGAAGTAGTGGTGGGAGTTGCTGTCTTAGAGATGCTGTCACCTACCAGTCTTCCACTACAAAGCAAACAATCAACTGAGACATCAACGTTCCAGCTTTCTCCATCAAGATTACAACATTGTAAATTATCTTATGATTTAATGGAATTATATTCCACATTTTATGTGGTTCACAACCACAAACCCTAACTCATGGACAAACCTAGGCTTGTCACCCAACAATGAAATGTCCCTATCTTATAAACTTTAATTTATTTGTTTTGTGGTTTCTTTAAACGTTATAAATTTCATCATCAAATACGTCGTTAGATATTTTATACAAAATATATTAACAATTAATAATTTGTACTTAAAAAACTGCCATATTAGGTAATTGGTAAGCTGGATGTTAATCTACTTTCATCATCAAATACGTTAGGTATTTTATACAAAATATATTAACAATTAATAATTAAAATTTCTGACAACATTTACTAGGGTGGTCGGTTTTCCAAGTAATTTTTTTTTTTTTGATTGTTTGAATTTTTAAAATTGGTTTTCGGTGGACTACAAAAGGCTATAACATTAAATTCAACCAATTAGTAGGTTAATTGACTTGACCCGTATAACATTACATAATTATCTTTCTCTACATTTTTAACGTGCAAGACACTTTACGATATAAGACTACACCACATCAATTCTTTAACATGTGAATGCTAAAAAAAAAAGACTGTAAAATTATAAATATTAAACTATAAGCGATTAAAGTATGATTATTAATCTAATTCATGTATTAGTCTTTTTGTAAATATAACGGAGGTAATAACAGCCGCCAATGATGTTTCTTCTTTTCTCAAAAGGTTGAATCTCCAAGTTCAATTGTCCCCATACCCCGACCTGATAGAACAGTTAGAATTATGTAAATCACAATGACTCAATAGCTCAATAGCAGTGCCAAGTGCCGGTTCGCACAAAGACTAATCTATCCACTTTGGCCAATGATGCTACCTACTAGCGGTTGGAGTGGAGTCACGACTCATGAATTTAGTGGCCACTGACTGGGTATATGTATGGTTAATTATCATAAGTGGATGTACTTATTATTATTGTTTGGAAAAAAAAAATATGGACCGACCATGGCCATTTTACAAATTAAAGTCATGTTACCTAACACAAATCACAATGAAATTCTACACCGATGTGGCACTAGAAAATTTTGCTTACAGGTGTGTGGTGATGAGCTTTAATTTGATAATATAATTATAATTTACAAACGTGGGATAATATAATAGACTAATAGTGTTAATTTTATTTATTTATTTTTATCTTTTAAATGGGTCATTTTGAAAATATATATATATAATTCTAGAAAATAATTTCTGAATTTAGGTTGCCCTTCTCGAGTTGATCTTTAGAGGAGTTTGGCATGTTGAATTGCAAACTTTCTTTATAAAATTGATGTTTAATATTTTGTTTCTATTAGGCGAATCGGTTATTTAATTACAAATTGCGTTTAATTTTATTGTGTACAATAATCATAGTAGTAATGTATTATGTATGGCATCAATGACCCATAATTTAAGTCCGACAAGTTCTAACTCTCATTAAGAAAATTTTATAGTGCATTAATTTGGATTTAATTAAAATTATAGCTAAAAAAAATTGATGGTACTCTATTCGCAAAT